GCAGTGGTAAATGATGACAGAGCACAAGGAGGAAAAACATAGCAGCTGCATTGTGTGGGCTGTCTTGTGTGTCACTGCCTCTCAGCGGCAAATATGAAAGCTGCATGACTGCTTCTTTAAATCTCATCCAAATATAGTTTGCCAGTATGTATTCCTGTGAAAAAAAAAGATCATTAAAGAAGAAGAGACAGAACAATTTACCCATATTTGCCTGAGACATGAACCTGTAATCAACTGTCTGGACCATTCATGTCTGTGCAAACAATCCAACGGAAGACATCAATGGCCTTACAGCGGTAATTATTACTGGTAATCAATTTTAGAAGGATTATAAGGTCTTGTGCATTTTGAGTCCAGTATTCTAAGGCCGTGGAGCCATTTCCTTTTTGATAGTTGACACCAAAGTAAATGTTTGCCCACAAAGTTGTGTGATAGCACAAACGTCATACAAGCTGTCAAGCATGGTGATGGAGGCGTTTTCTGCTAAAGGACCTGAACGCTTTGCTGTTTTCGAGTGAGCCGTGAACTCTTCCTTATTCCAGAGTGTTCTAGAGATGAATGTGAGGGCATCAGTCTGAAAGCCAAAGATGGAACAAACAGGGCTATAATCATTTCAAACACAGCTGCAAATCTACAACGGAGTGGTTGAAGTCCAATTTTAATCTTAATCTCCATGATGTGGTGGAACCCTTAGAGTCTAGAGTGGAAACGAATGCTGTAAACCTGAATGAACCAGAGCATTGTTTCTAAAGAAGAAGGGGCCAAAAATCCTTCTTTACAATGTCACACAGAAAAGTTCAAACTATTGGTGCTAAAGGTGGTACAACCTACAAATCACAGGGCTTTCTTTGTTTTTCATGCTCTACTCTTGCATTTTTCTTCAGTTTTCAATAAAAAGCATGTATCAGCGTCCTTTTTTGGCATTTCTTTTGTTTCTCTAAAGCTTTATTTACCTCATTTTAAATCTAGACTAATTCCATTTCCAATGTGAAAGGCATTATATATTCAATGGGTATTTGTATATTTGACATTATCATGTGGTAGAATTTACATTTTGGCTCTGCTGAAAGAGATAGGAAAATGTTTCTCTGACAACTGAAGATGAATGATGATTTAAGGAAATTGTTAGAAACCAAATGCCAATTCATGATATTTACTAACTATTAACCCAAATTAAATACTATACGTCTTCTCCTCTGTTTAGGATCAGCTGTCATTCATCTGTGTGATTAAAAATGGGTCTAAAAAGGGGTTTGAGCGAAGTCAATAAAGATTTGGCTTGAAGTTTCTGATGCATACTGGCGTCACCACTGATCAAGACCGACGGATCCTTTGAGAATTTTCTGTATCACACCAGAAGACGCCCTTAACCCTGGTTTTGAAATGACTTATAATCCAGTATAAAATGGAAAAAACACTCATAGCACAGGGAATGCTAAATAATTCCAGTCTCCTCTGGAAGAAAATAGACTTAAGGCGGATAAAAAGAGGCTTAATGTTGCAGTACAACGGACTACAATTTTACATTTTAAATCAATTTGCGGGAACCCTCAGAAGAGCATAATTATCTCTCCACATCTTACCAGCACCGTCTTACATTTTGATGAGTCTCTATTTGATTATCCCTTTCGAGATCATTCATTTTAGCAGGAGATGTACCGTAGCACCTCACTTTGATCCCTGTCCTCAGGCACAAAAAGCCTCGCAGAACCTGAAATTGTTTGGGCGGATCATAAAAAAGCTGCATAAGATGAAGGGATTCTCAGGTCACCAGGAGGCATTTTCTGGAGTTTGTGCTGTATTAATGTGGCAGTAGAGAGAGACCACTCTGTCTATTGCAATTTACATGAGCTGGAGTTAATTCAGCGCAAAAATAATGATAACACAAGAAATATTATCATTATCAACAATATCCCTCTGAGACTATCTAGTTTAATCCTTTTTAACCCAGACCAGCCAAATAAGATTAGCACTTAAAGTGGCCATCCATGGTTAACCACGTCAGTTCATCTGCAGCTGTTTTTCAGCTCGTGTTATGAAAGTTTGTAACAATCCATTATGTAAAATGAATTATGTCCCAGAGCGCTGCCAGTGATTTCTTAGTACCATTCATAAAGATCATTTGAAACATTTCTGAATTCCTGGAAACATATCAAAATCCATTTATCCAATATGTTCAGTGGCCTCATTTGTAATAGTTCATTGTAATTGTTGATTTGACAGATATTGATCATGTAATGAAATTACGGATACAGGCTGGCAAATGAGAAATGGGTCGATTCCTAATAATGAGGCAGGGCTTATGTGAGGTGCATGAGGACTTTTGATCAGGTGTCTGTTTTAACAGTAAGATGGAAGGTTGGCTTCAAAGAACATTACTCAAGAATTTAGTCTCAAATGGTTTAAGCTCAAACACTAAATGAAGCACTATATAGATGTAGATATGTCTATTTCTACATAGATAAATATAAATGCTCTATAATGTACAGTTTTGCTAATTTGTCTGTGTATGCTGGAGGAAGGATCCCTCATCAGTTGCACTCCTGAAGGTTCACTCCAAACTTTTCCAGTTCAAGGGGTATGAATTAAAATGATTTATATGCTCTGCATTTGGCACAGACGGCGTACAAGTGAAAGAACCTGCTGACTGTGTGATTTATTTCAGACTGGGCTCTTTGTGCACATACACTGCCATCTAGTGGCCACAAGTCTGCAACGGGGTTTTTCAGCCTCCTCCCAACAACCTCTAACAGGACTATCACCTGCAGAGGGCCATCTTGTCAAAGAGTTGTTCCTGCCTCGGCCCCTGAGTACAGGAAAACCTTCTCAGACTCACAGTTTGAAAGGAGAAAAACTTTTCAGAATAAGAGTTAGACAGGACAAATGTCCCCGTGTACACCCACCACCGAGCTGAGCAGATGGCATTTCATAACCAGTCACCATATCTGATGCCATTGCCAACTCACTTTCACATTTATATGTAAAGTAGCAGACTTTTCCAGCACACCAGCAGATGGCTTGAGATGGATGCTTGGGGACGTTTGGGTAAGTACTTCATGATTTCTGTTTCTCGTTCCAAACCAAAACCAGGAAGAAAGCATAGGCCAATATAGATGCTGCGACAATAGACAAGATGGAGTGAAATATTAAGCCCTGCTTTAGACGGTAGAGGTGAACGTCTTCTTTTTTGTGGCTTATGGCCATCGAATTAGTTATATAATTTTTATGTAGTTGGAGAAGAGCAGTTGGATGCAGAAAAACTTTAAGAAGAAGAAGCAATTTTTCTTTTGACCACTCTCATCTTGTCATAGATCTGTGTATATCAGTTATGTAACGCCAATATCAGTTTGCACAACTATTGGTCAACTGTTCCTGTATTGGGCAACTATATAAAATTGGAGGAGACTGATATTATTTCCTTCTGTAAAGGATGACTCAGTGTTCTTGTGCATAAAAATGAAATACAGGAAGTATTAAACCCCATCTCTTAACTTGCTGTTGAGTAGAACCTTCATAAACCAACTAAATACTATTCAAGGCGTGCTTTTTTTCTTGATGGATGGTCCTTATTGTCCTTAACTGGGAAGTCTGGGAGTTGATTTAAAATTCAATGTCACTGCCTAAAAGTTCAACAAGCTCATCCTTGACAATAGCAGCCGATACAGATACCCATCCTCCTCAGTAATTAAGCCTTGTTTAAGATAGTGCACTGTGTTAATTAGTCATTACAATTCCATTCATGTGCTGTATCAAGAGTAAATCTCATTTACTCTGCAATTCAAAGTTTGAAACATTGATGTGATTCTGCTGCAGTTTTGTGTCAGCCCTCTTTGCTTTAGCCGTGTTCCGAGCGGAAGACTGATTGCACACATGAAATATGGTGGCAGTGTGGGGTGAGTTCTTATCGTGTTTTGACTCTTTTCGCTTTTCACATTTATGAGTTGTTTGCAGGATAATTGGAAACTTTGGACTTGTTATTAGATGTAATTTATTTTTGGCTATACCTTGACAGGAATACAATTAATCTAAAAAATGAAATAAAAAAGTGTTAGATGATAACTGATACACTCATGAGCTCTATCCTTCAATTTTCCATATCCAGCTCAGGTTCTCATGGGGACTGGAAAGAAATAGGTGCGTTACTTTGTGTACATTTTAATGTAAAATCTTACAGTATACATAACTCAGCTGTCAAACATAAGTGCAAGATATGAAGTACAATCATTGCATCTGAATTGTTGTGGAGAAATAACATGTAGATGTAAACACAAATACCTAAAGTCTTTACCTAATTGCAACATTTAGGTAAAAATACATGTCTATATCACATCACTACTATTTTAACAGTAAGCACTTATCACATGCACATTGCAAAAGCCTTTTAAGCAAATTTCAATACAAATTTTCAAAAGTTTTTATATAGTCAAAGTCTCTTGGTATTTTTTTTATTAGGTTCTTGCTACACGTTCAAACATGTAATGGATGAAACACCTGAAACTCTAAACAACTGTGATTGTGATGAAATTTTAAGCTGTTCCAAAACATTATTTAGGAAGGGTGATATTCCGATTCCCTCTAACAAAGCGTTGTCCTCAGCAGATATTAACACAAACAGCAGAGGAAGACAAATAAAGACAGAAGCTTGAAACCTCATAAAAAGATTAGTTCCATAGTTCAACAATGTGCCAGAGTTGATTATATAGTGATAATAAACAATAACACACTTAACTGGCATCTCTGCTGGTTTGATTCTTTTTTTTAAAGGAAATTACTGGAAGAGATCAATTGACTTGTAAATTAAACAAGGCTTCAACATGGGAAAATTACAAGTTTTCCACAACTGCAACATGTTCACTAATATCCTGCTACATTTCTGATGTGTGCTACATCCAGTAAGATCAACAATATCTTTATACTATATTGTAACATTCAACCCTCCATCCCCCTCCCCACCTTCAATACTGAATAATAAAAAGTTAATTTAAATGAAATTTGTACAGAAGTCGCATATTTCATGTGCTTGCTGAAAGTTCTCTAAGGCATATAAAAGTATAATGACATCTTAGTGCTATGGTATGAGATGTTCAGAGTTTTGTCTAAGCAGGAGCAGAGCTCCCAGAGGGCATTCAATGTACCCTCACTGAAAAGTTGAATAATCATGAGTAGTATATCCAAAATACTTTTTTCAAACTGCAGATAAAGACATCTCCTATCTGAATTTAGCACTCATGCATTCACATTGTGTGCTATACATTCTTTGAGCATGCATTGCACTTCGGTCCATGTGCAAAACAGCAGGATCACCTACAGAATAATGTGGAAATGATATTTTTGCTTCACAAATAAAAGTATTTTCAATGTCCGCAATAGACGGTATATCAATCAAGCGGAATTTGGATCATCTGACATGCACAAAGTTTACTGTCTGTGCACGCGGTTTAGCTTGTTACAGTGACTTTCTCCTTAAACGAGGAAACTCCTGGAAGCTGTGCCCGGGTGACAACGTGCTTCCCGGGGAAGAGACTCCAGTGTTGTTCTGGGACCTTGGCGAGCCGCTTTGGATCCTGTAAGACACTGAGTTGTGGTAAACAGAATTGACGCGGCAGCTATGGTGCTCCCTGCGTGCCATGAGGGGGCTGTCGCAAACCTCCAGGCGATAGCACACACAGGAGGAGCAGAGGGAACTGAGGCTGGACTCCTGCTTCTTTCTGCCAGCCTTGATCTGAAAATGTAGTCTGTGTCGGCACGGACTTCCCCGATTCTGCTGGTCCTCCAGTGGGGACGAGATGAGGTTGGTGCGACTCGTTCCTTCCTCCATTGGGAGAAAGAGTGTGCTGTGTCTGTGACTGTGCACCGTGCTGCTCCTGTTCCGCTCCCTGTGGCTGTCCCTGCTCCACTCCCCTACCGCCCGGAGGCCCAGGGCCCCTTCCAAACGGCCTCTGTCTCTCTTCAGTGAGGCCCTCTCTTGGGCATCTCTCCTCTCATCCTCAGTGTTCATGGTGAGGAAACGCAGAACCACCAAATTAAGAAACGCCCCGATGACGGTCAGCCCCACCAGGATGTACATGAAGCTGAAAGCCACATAGGGCGTCTTCTCCTGAAGGTCCTCTTTTTTCTGCAGGGCCACAAAGTCCCCGAAGCCAATGGTGGTAAGAGTGATGAAGCAGTAGTAGTACGCATGGAAGAAACTCCATCCCTCAAAGTGAGAAAAGGCTGCAGCTCCCACACACAGAGTTCCAATACAGGACAGGAAGCCCACCAGCACCATGTTCTCCATGGATACCTCGGTGCGCCGACAGCCGAGGCACTGCTTCAGCTTGTGTAAGAGATAGCGGACAAACGTGTTCATTCTTTCTCCCAGGCTCTGGAACATCACCAAAGTCAGGGGAATGCCGAGCACGGCATAGAACATGCAGAAGACTTTTCCCGCATCTGTGCCCGGTGCTGCATGCCCATAGCCTGAGTGCAAAGAGGCGAAAAGGGGAAGAACGCAGGGACACATATTTTTACAGGTCTCAGATGTAGAATTATATACAACTTTTTCATTTGCGTTATTTTTCCCACAAGAAAAAGCCTTGAAAATATTTTAAGGTGCAAAATAGAGAGGAGGTGAGACACTAAAGACGGAAGGCACAGATTAACTTACCAATGGTGGTGATGACTGTTATGGCAAAGTAAAAAGAGCCGGCAAATTTCCACTGTCTCCCGGCGCGGTGAGGCTCAGCTTGCAGCACCACGCGCTCGATTTCGCGGTAATCGTGCTCGGAGAAGCGGTACTTCTTCTTCATCTCGTTGCGCTTCTGCTCCAAGATGCGCCTGCGGGAGCTCTCCGTCTCCGACTCCAGCGCGTCAAACACCGCGGCGCCCACCAGCAAGTAGGAGAACATGCACAGGATGAGCGACAGAGTCCGCACGTTCTGCTTCTTCATCCTCGGCGTCGGCATGGGAGTCTGGAGTCTGGAGGCAGTTACAGGTGGCACGGATCTTCAGCGTTGGCACCACATCGGGGTCCCTGCCTGTTGCCTTAAATGCACAGCAGCAGCAGCCGGCGAAGTGAAACCCTGGAAATCTATCTTAACTGGATTTTAATTTCCTCTCTATGGAAAAAAAAAAAAACGTGCGTGCACTGCTTATGATGTTCTTGATACGATCATCTGTTTAAGCAAGTGGCCTGGGATCACTGCTTCGCATGCGCAAAGCAGTCACCAATAAAAAGCTCCGTGTAATGTAGGTGTGTGCCTAGTATGAGGAGAAAAAAAAGGCATCAGCACCATGGACAGCAACCAGTGGGACTGAAATAACACGCAAAACCGCAATTTCAGACCAAACACAAAGTCTTCTTGCTTTTTCGCATACCTGATATAAATAATTATATTAGGCCTATAAAATACAATAATATATATATATTTAGAGAAAAAAAACTTTTTAAAAGTGACCTGTTTTGCGTTTCAGGCGCAGAATCAAAGACACATTTTACTTTCAGATACAGGGCTCTGAGAAATTAGGTGATGCTCTTTAAGTACAAACCCTTCTATTGTGCAATGTGTGATAAAGTATGTGTAGGAGAGTCGATTTCCATTTAGGACTAAAAAAGAAAGATGGAAATAAAAATAAGCCCACCCATACAAATCTAACCAATTTCTTTACAGTTTGCTTCTAAAGAACAAACTATCTTATAACCTTACAAATAGCCTTAAGCTAGACCAAAGTTTGCAGAACTTTTTATTATTTTTGTCTTTTTGTATATCAGGTCATCAGCAGCTCAGTCTTTGTGCTTAACTATTTTCAGACTCATTCCAAGATAAAATGCCACTTATTTCAAAAGATGGACTAGAGCTTTGTCTACACGTAACAGTCAACTGCTTCTATTGAGATTTGTCTGTGCAACATGTAACAGTTTTAGATTGTTGTCTAAAACTGTTAAAGCCAGTGCACACAGTTAAAACTGTTATGTCGCTGTCATATATACACATATACGATCAACATCGACTTTCCTTTTTACTCTATCTGGTCAACAAAAAAACCCAAACACAATTTTACAGATATACAAAAATTATTTGAAACATACAAGTTTTGAACTAAAGAAACTGAATTCCAGAAGCCTCTTATTCAGTGTTTTGCTAAAGACTAGAGGAAACTGGGCAGGGCCAGGACAAAATAAAACATTTTAGGCAAACAAAGGTATTTTTAAATATGAAAGTAGTGTCCTCAAGAACTAGAGGACAAAAGTCTAGCATTCTCTTTGGAAAGGTGGCTAACAACAAGCCATCCACAGAGCCTGAACATCAGCTTTATCACAGCAGAGTGGGGTCATTTTGATAGAGAATGGAACAAAAGGCAGCCAACATTCTCAGCAGGGAAATTCAAAGTGGCTCAAAATCTTTGAGAATGAACATTTATGTGGCTACCGAAGTAGAAACACACGTTTGTGTGTGTGTGTGTGTGAAAAAAAGTGTGTGTGTGTGTGTGTGTGAGATAGAGAGAGATAAAGAGAGAGAGAGAGAGTAATAGAGAGAGAGATAGGCCCTGAGGGCATGGGTCTGCGTGTTGAAGAACTACACAATGCATATCATATACGCTAACTGAAAAAGCCAGACAGCTACACTGGATGCTTCTGGAAATTTACTGTAGGTGATGCTGGTTGCCATGGTTACTGTAGTTGCACCAGAGGCACAGACTTTGACTATCAGTTAGGCTGAAGCTAATAAAAGCATAATGATCCTGGCCCTCCCTCGGTAGATTATGTTGTCATTGCATCACAACGCTTCTTTTGGCGCATCAAAGAAGATTCCTGTTTTAAATGGAGAAAAACATTGCACAGACAAAGCTCGATAAGAGCATCTTCCGTGTGTCACAGCAGGGTGCAGCAGCAGTGACTGAGTTCTGCAGGTGGATTATTGTGTGTTCTTTTGTCCCTGCCGAGCAGAGCAGCCCGTTCTCTGTGCTCCTGTTTTTGTGCTAAGTGGCTAAATCAGCACACTTGCATCCCTGTTGTGATTCAACCAGCTCTCCATAAATTAATTACATCTCATCTAATAAGAGAGGTACCTGAAAATCTAACAGCCACCCATCAGTCCACATCATTTTCAAAGCTTGGGGGCCTTGAACAAAGTGGGTGTGGGGATATTAGTCCGTTCTGGTGAAGATTATTTAGACTCAGAGGGTTGGACGCTTTATTATTTTTCATTTCATCTGCTTTCTTTGATCTCACTAAGACATATTTCTTTAACATGCTCACATAGTTTATTTGCAAAAATGGACATGTTGTGCCCAAACAGCAAAATCCTATAAAAGCAAAAGAAATTCACCTGTGGATTTCTCTTTCTTTATATTTTGATATGGTACTTTAAATTAAATGGTGTATGTGTCTGCATGATAGTTGATATTCCTATGATGATATAAATACATTTGGTTTTACAGCAAAGGGAAATAAAATCACACTGTCTCTGTTATTTCGTAAGGTCAAACCTTCATGTTCAAGCTGTAAATACACAAATGTTGCAAAACCTTTTTAAGATGCCTGAGGCATAAAGGGGAAAAGGGCCCAGGCCTGAAGATATTACTCTAAAACAAATAATATGCCATTTCACAAACAACAGTACAACAAATAAATGTCCTGAAGGAAAAATTCTGAAAATCATGAAAGTTTTAAAAAAGCAGTGGGGAGTTGTTCAGCACAAAAATGAGCCAGCAGAAATACAGAAATAGACAAGAAAAGAGAGGACTGTGAATTTAACTGCAAGGCCTTCAATAGAAATCCACATATGCTTCTCCTATGAGACTTTGAAAATGTATGACTCCGGGAAATTTTGGATAAAAGGTATCCTTATAAACCTCTCAAGGTCTAGTTTTTTCATCTTTCAGAAAAGGTAGCCAATGATTTTGACAGAAGATGGCCCACATTTTCTGTGAGCATTTCTGTGTCTGATCAGCTTCTTATTTCTGAGTATCATCAAATATACATGCTTACAGCCCCGTCCGGAGTCTAAATACTGTCGCAGATGCATACACACTATAAGCATGTCTGTCCAACAATGCAGGGAACACTTAAGATGGACTGAGCAGAAGTTACCAAAGAAACAAGTGGGCTTTGGTGTCATGATGCTGTAAAAACTCTATAAATAACATTGTACGGCAAACATAAATAGAAACGGGCAGGACATGCACTGCATGTCTTAAACTGAATCTTGACAGAACTACCTAGATGGTAAGCTGGATAACAGCCTTTGGCTTAAAAAAAATTATTCTGTTAGAGCAATTCATCCTTAAAGTCATCTCCAGTAAGACAGGCCTATATAAGACAAGTTAGGTCTATCCCCTGGAGCATGTCACTGACTCACTGTTACAGAGAGGACAGTTATATTTGGTTTTGTGGTATGACAAATTGAGACCTGCCTACTTGGTCCAAAACACTGGGAAGTGCTGGTGTAAATGTTTGCCTTGGACTGTTGAATTTTATTTCAGGTTATAATACTTCACCAGATCTCTCACAGCAACCTCTGACATTTATTCTTTTCCAGTTCATTTTCCTCAAAGACACATTCTTTGCCGCTCACTTTGAATATCTCTTGAAAAGTGAAAATGTTATCATTTGATGATAAATTAATTCTTGTGGAATGTGAGTTTTGATTTGCTCTAATGTTCATGTTTTGAAAGTTTTTTACTATGTCTGTATTATTGAGCAGAAAAGACTGTTTTTATTTGATAGTTCACATTTAATGTTTTATGGTGGGGTGAAAAAAAACACGGTTGGATTTATTTCTTCTTTTGGAGCCCGACAGCAACAGGAATGATAAACTGTAAAATGTACCACTTTGAAGCTCTCATAAGGCAGCAGATGGACTTAATCGATTATATTTTGTGGTCTGTTTATCTAAACATACAAAAAAACATGCTAGTAAAATGAAACGCATATGTAGAAATAGAAGCACATCAGCATGATTTGTGATAATGGTAAAAGCCCACTTTGTTTACAAAGTGATCAACATTGCTACCCACTTGTTAAACAGACATTATTTTTTCTGAATTTCGCTGTGGCTGTGTTTGCAGGAGCCACATTAAGCATATTTATTATTCAGTTTGAATCTCTTTCCCTATTCTGCTTGACTCACTTATCTGTCTGAGTTCAGACTAGTTTATGCCCACTTTTTCAGTCATGGCTGGGAAATCTTCGTCATACATATTTGTGAGATGGGGAGAATTCCACGGAGCTGTCTGTGGTGCGCCAATAATTGGTGAATTTGTTCTTAATTCAAATCTAATTTCCAATCCATCTATTGAATACGACAGTGTTTTTTTTAAATACTTTATATAGTATACTTTATTGGTCATGATGAAAATGCATAATGGTGCAGACAAAAGTAGATCATTCTGAGACATGACAGCCAACCCTGTTGCTAGAATATTTATTTTATACTGATCATTCAGTAGCACTAAAACAAAATGTTGCCTATAGAAGATTTTTTAGTTCTTTACTTCTTTACTCATGTACCAAACAGTAATCCACTCTCTGTTGTGGTCAGAAAAGCCTCTATCATACATTGCAAATGCTTTGCAGTACGCTGTATCACAGCAAATTATTCCAAATTTGATTAATCACTTGAAAATCTAGTTGGAATAAACTAAGAGATTAGAAAGAATATATTTACAATATTAGCTGCAAATAGTTGATATAACCGAACACTTTGAGGTTACCCTTGCAGTCGCCGAATTCCCCCTGCAAACATTAGCCCTAGACTGCAAAAGAGATCAACTACATGAAGAAAGAAGCTTCAGGAAGGGCTTGTAAAGTTGCAACTTAATCCTAAAATCAGTGATTTCATGTCGAAACTGTGACAAAGGCTGTCAAACTGGGTCTAAAGGCATTTTAAAAACCCCTCTGTGCATAAGCTTGAACAGATCTCTCCATCTGTTTTGAACAGAAAATGGCAACAGGGATTCAATTTCATGAAGCAGAGGCACGAAAATGCAAATACTGGATGCCTGCAGAGCCCTCTGGTTTCCACAGTAACAGAACAAAAATAGTAACCCACACCAGCGGCTATTCAGCACTGAATCCCCTGTGATAACACATGATTCTATTTATATCCTCTAATGGTGAAATAAGCCCATGTATAAATGCATCAGTCCAATTACTGTCAAAAGATTTACAATGAGGTCCAATTGAATAGCATCACCTCTTTCTGCTGCTGCTCCAGTGTGAAGCCAGGGGACAACTCATGATACAGGAATTGTCCAGTAAAGATATAATACAAGTAGGATGATTCTAAAAATATTTTAGAGGTGGAGGAAATATGTGCTTGTATTTTTAGGATTGCAGAGCTGATTTGGTAATGTAAACTTGTTTGCTATGCTGGTATTACACTGCCTGTTTAAACTGTAAATTAATTTGAATAATCTGCCATTGCTGCTGCTCACTTTTCAACATCCTTTACAAAAACAAATCATTGTAAAGGATGTTTTTGTTTCTACAAAGTTCCAGAACATTGCGAGATTTACGCAGTATCAAATGTTGATTAAAGCAAATAAGGAAAAACAATATTCATTTTCTACCCTGTATTTAATATCTTAAATGCCACTGACCTGCCAGAAACTGCAGCTGAATGGAATAAACTATGTTTCAAAGCACAACGTGTCCATGGCAGACTGTACTCGGGGAAAACCAGTGTGCACTGGCTGCTTTTGCCATGTTGCATGAGAGTACATCCTGTTTTATCACTGTAAGAAGGATTTACCGAAGTCTGATCCTTAAACAATTGGCTTTTGGCCACTATTACAAAAGAAATACAAAAGAGATTTCTGAAGACATCAGGGAGAAAAAAGGCAGTATGTGATCTTAAGACTGTGAAAGATTACGAAACTATATTTACGTAGCGTTGGTGTAGATTCTCAGTCACTCAAATACCCTGTGGTAATATACAGCTCTGGTCACCTATTGGGAATGTTTGCTGAGTTCACAATCAGGACTACTGAAGCTTGATTCATTTTTCTGTTACCGGTAAGTGCCCCTGGGGTTACTTTTGATAGAAGTTGGTAGGATATCAATGAACTTAAATCGACTGGATTGAGACTACTGAATCATAATGGTGTAATGTCAGGCTAAAAGACATTCTCAAAACGAAAACTGTCAGCAAACTGTACAACAGAAAGTAAGATCAGTTTGTCCTGATTGTGTGGGATGGACTGTCTTTTTGCCCTGAGATTTCTCTACACCTATACTGTTGTTGGCTGAACCGTGGAAATGCTGGAAAATATTGAGGTCCGAGGCTCAAACAGCATCCTGACTCACCAGGGCTCATTTTTACTGACTGTCCTGCAGCCACTTTAAAGCAATTTTTGCTGCCTCATTGGTTGACTTGATCACCCCTCACTCTTAGGCAATTATGGGCCAGGCATGTTAAATGCCTTGCACAATAACTATCCAAGTGTCTAAATACTCTCAGTTTTAAACACACCCCACAGTCTGCAATAGTTAGAGGAAAGAAGCATGTGAATACCAAACAGTTATCCAAACAAGTTAGGACTTGTTCCGCAAGATTATTGATTAGGTCGGGGTTACAAAAACTTCTTGGATCAATGAAAAATGATAGAATGTGGCCCCAAATTCTACCAGGGTCAACCTGAAGAAGCAGCAAAAAGCCACTGCAGAAATAACACCAGTTGAAGCTGTGCTTAAACAAAGAGTGGCCACAGGAAAACATCAGAAAAGCACTTGGAAGACCCTCAAAACATGTGAAATAAGTGACTGTATCAGCTGTGGCCAGCTGGTACAGACACTTATTTCACTTATAGGAACAACACAATAACTCCTACAACTAATAACTTTGATTCCTTGAGCTGATACCTACATTTATTGGCCACAAAGTTGAATACAGCATTCAAAAAATCCAATTACTCCAATTATCCTACAAACTTAGGTATGACAAAGACCCACTCCTGTTTGCAAGGACCCTCACCTATATTTCACTAAGAATTGAGAACATGGGAATGTACAGTATATCATCTAAAGAATGCAGTACATCAGCAGATGTCATCAAGCCTGAAGAGAGATATTTTGAGGTATGGGTAAAAAGGATTATGCCGTCTATTTCATGTACTGCCTTCCACTTCAACTCTGTCCTGACCCTGATACACATCTGTAATAATTTTGGGTGAACTACCTCCCTGATATAATCCCCCCATAAAGTCCTCATTTAGAGTACTAAATGTGAAGCGACGCCTGTAAATGGCCCAGCCAATCACATTTGTTTTGTCTCAAAGCTCATGGAAATTCAAGTGATTGGGAGAATCGGTAAAATATATTTTCAGTACCTGCACATGTTATAACACCATGGGGCATATTGTGGTATCCTTCTTTTGGTCTTAATCAGCTCTTAGTTTTTAGTTGTCTGTTCAGCTCTCATCAAATGTAACATTGTGAAATACAACAAAGTTTGTTAGCTGATAAAACTGTTCAATTACTGTAAAGGCCTGCCTTTATTGTTATTTTGTTAGTTAATTATTCGTAGTGGTATTATGGTGCTTTGTCCTTATATAACACTTGGAAGAAAGAGTTTTTTCTCTCTTAATAAAAGCTGTCTGACTCAGCCAGTTTGTGCTTCCAACACCCCCAGCCAACACAGAAACTGTGTTACCTCCAAGGGGAATCGGAAAACAGAAACATTTTGAAGAAATGACAATAAAAATTATATTAAGGGCTGAATGATTCCGCCTTATAGTTAGATACGAATGTAAAATCTACCGAGAGATAAGGGGTGAAGATTAATTCTAAAAAGTATCGCATTTGTGATTTATGTTGCTGTTTAAAAATGGAGATACCTGATCATCAAAGGAGGTCATGGCACAGTTTTGCAAAGGTATCATCTTCTTTTGTTAGGTATGGACTTCTACAACAAGATTCCTCGTGTCCTTGCTTTGTCTTACTCCCTCCTGGTGACAATATGGGCAAGTCTAGTTGTGACATGGGGACTCGATATTTTCCGGGAACATTTGAAGGCAGCGGCTGTTCTGCAGCCACCAGCAGAGCCTCTGCTGCTCCCTGATGATGGTAGGCTGGAGAGGCGACTGGTCAGGGCTATCCCCGTCAAACCTTAAAATGCTGTCATAACCTAACTCACCCCTGTTTTTTCAGTGCTAAGTTGGGTTGTGCTTTTATTTAGCTTTACCCAGTTTTAAAAATAGATAACCAACAATGGAGGACGACTGTGTTTTTGAGTACGACTCGACATGGGACACAGAGAGTGATGGAGACGACCCGGCCGGAGAGAGCCAGCCCCGTCGGTCCAGTCAAGATAAAAACAAGTCTTCCTGGGCTATTGTGAGTGTTTTCATTATCAGTCAACACAACGGTGACGTTTCAAATGAGTTTAATGTCCCCTTCAAGCTAACAGTTGTGCTCCCGGACCGGTTGGGCAAAGCTAATATTAGCTTTACGCCTCTTTGCTGCAGCCGTGCTAACTAGCCTAGCTAACCATAAACGTTAGCCGACTTTGGACTCCCAGCTTTACTTCCTGTCGTCTATGTTTACCAGTCTAAAGTCATAATAGAAATGGCAAAAAACAATTTTTTCGTCTGGGAGATTGTTTGGAAGCAATGGGAAATGCATTAGCCAGACGGTAGTTGCGGACTTGCGAAGCTGCGTTGTGTGATGTTAGTTTTTCTGCGTAAGTAAACAGTTCAGCTCACACAGCCATCGTCATCATTATCAGTCGAGCCCTATTTTTTATCCTTTTAATTGTCGTGTATGTAGGCTCGATTACATGTTAATCCTTCACAATAACCGGAAGAAATTCGATGTAGGTTACTCTGAATTTTTATTTTCAGTGGCATCACACACCCAGAAACATGAGGGCAGCAAAGGACATGCAGAACTACAGGAGAGGGTACCCCGTAAGTAACAGCTAAACACACCCACTTACACACACACACCATGCTTCTCAGGGGAAACTGGTTAACCAAGTCATGCTTTTCTTTGTGTTTTTCAACAGAATCTAACAGATGATGAGTGTTCAGAGGATAAGATGAATAATTTGCATTTTTATCTGAATAAGTTTCCCTCCGCCCCTGATGGTAACACATCCCACTGTTTAAAGATTTTCCATATTTTATACAGATATGGTTTTGTTTAGTATTTTAGTGTTTTCTTTCTCGTTTGGCACAGATATCTACATCGAATCGTTTCTTAAAGAATGGAAAAATGACTATAAGAGACTGGAAAGGGTTCATTCTTACATTCAGTGGTATGTATTGTTGTATGGTTGCATGCTTTACCCGTCCCTTCTGATAGAAGAACTGACTTATCTCTTGCATTTGACCACATAGGACTATTATTTATACTTGCTGGTGTTGAGTGAATCAGAGTTCAGTTGCATTAAATATTAACTGGTGTTTGTCTGTGTTGTGTTATCTTCCATCACAAGGTTGTTTCCACTTCGAGAACCAGGAGTTAATTATATGGCCTCAGAGCTAACCAAGAAGGAAATTGAGGTAGGTGCATCAGAGGAAGCCACCCATAAATGATCAGAACGTGTCTGATGACGGCTCTGCTTCCAGAACAACACATAGCGACATGTTTGACCATGTTGTTCCCTCTTTGTTATTGATGCAAGCAAAGCCCAAATCAGACGTTTTCCTGCAAGCAAAAATATCTCTCAGGCTAGAGATGTGTCATATTATTAAGGCTCCGAACGCTGGATCAACATGCAGACTGAACGGCTGCCGTGGTTTGTCTAAAATCACATCACTTATTCCTTGAGTGATCATTTCTTTCTAAAAATGAGATGCAGAAGGATAACTAAAAAAGGCTGCTTTGCCAACAGACAGTGTTGACAGAGATTTGTGATATTCTTTAAATCCCTGGTTTATCTAGAAGGCGAGGGCAATATACGACATGCTGAAAACTAAGTGAAGCAAATGCAGCTGATTTAGCATGATCACCAACGCTGTGTCGGCGGTTGGAAGCTGAAAGGACCAGCTGTTCAAGTTTTTAAATCAGCGCTCTCCACTTCTTTCTTGATACAAGCGTTTCAGCTGCTTGGCAATTAGGATCGTCCTCTGCTGTATTAACCCGTGTTTTGTGAGTGGGCGATGGCTGGAGAGTGCTGGCAGACCAGTTTAGCCTCACAGTGAATTACAAAGGAACCTTTTTCTTGTACTCCAGCGATCAGTTGAACACCTTTTTATTGATTTAAATAGATTCAGGTCTGACGTTTAGGGCTAGTGTTTTCCAGAACATGTTTTTGATCTATGCACTATGCCCACCAGGCCTTTAAGAAGAATGAAGATGCCAAACGGAGGCTAGTGGAGTCCTATGAGCTCATGCTGGGCTTCTATGGGATCCGTTTGGTCAACAAAGAGACGGGCGAAGTGAAACGTGCAGAAAACTGGAAGGAGCGCTTTGGAAACCTGGAACGGTAAGTGTTTGCTGTTCAGCCATTTGTACTCATGTCCCCTTTTGGTTTGAAGCCAGAGTTTTTAATGGGCTCTTTTCCTGCAGGAACATGCACAACAATCTGCGCATCACTCGCATCCTGAAGAGCCTCGGAGAGTTGGGCTTTGAGCACTATCAGGCCCCACTGGTGCGCTTCTTTCTGGAGGAGACTCTGGTCAAAAAGACTCTCAGCAGTGTTAAACGCAGCGTCCTCGATTACTTCCTGTTTGCCGTGTTGGACAAGCAGAAACGTCAGGAGCTCGTGCGCTTCGCTTACCTTCACTTTGAGCCAAAGGACAAGTTTGTGTGGTGTCCCAGAAAGATTCAGAAACAGTTCAGAAAGGCAGAGAAAAGGCCGGAGGCTGTTGGGAATGGAGACGCAAAGGAGGAAGTGTGCTCACGTGCTAAAAACAAAGATGGAGAAGCAGCAGTGCAGCAAAGAGGCGAGGGACTGGACGGTGTGGCCAAAGCTCAGAAAGGAGCTGATAAAAGTAAGGACAAAAACAAACAGGCCGAGGTGTCCCCTGAGCCAAAAGTGGAAGCTGAGGCAGTAGGAAATGGAAACGAGGTGACTGAGTGTGACAATGAAATGGTAACAAATGGAAACGACTCTCCAGATGAGGTGCATGACATGGATCAGTCGCCCAGTCCAGTCACCCCGACCCCAAAAGTGGAGCCGTGTGTGGACAGTGAGCCCAAATGTGCCAACAGCACGAAGGACTCCACACAGGGAGCAGACAGCATGCAGACAGACGGAGACTTAGAAACCGAAAAACCTCCAAAGAAGAAGAGAGAAGATGACAAAGTCCTGCCTGATGGCCGCCCTGCTCAGGACAGCAGTCTGATGGAGGAAAAGGCTTCTGCTGAGAAAGCCGGGGGCCAAACGAGCCCCGCAGCTCACACCCCGCTAAAGACCTCAAAACACTCCCCCTCTCCTTCCTCTGAAAGGGAGGGAAAGATCCCGCGGACGGATTTCAGTCAAACGGCCAGTAAGAAGCCAGAGGAGGAGACGTCACCGAAAGACATTTCATCTCCAGGCGGGGTGACCAGCAGCAGAGATGGAGATGACCAGAGCAGCGTCTGTATGGAATCAGCCCCCTCCAGCTCAGACCCAAACGAGCCAAAGTCCTGACTAAACGCTTAACAGGGGGAGTAAATCAGAACTGACCCGAAATGTAATATAAGAACAGAGTGAGACTGGAGACTTGGCCTTCTTCCTACTGACGTTAAGATGTTGAAGGACTACGTGGATGAACTCGTTCACCAAATATCATCCAGGACGAGAGCAGCAGTGTGCCAGACTGGGTCCTTTCAGACCTCCTCACAGTTCAGGCCTCAAGCTGTTTCCCTCCACCAAAACATGATTGATTATTGAGGCGAGGTCAGACAGGAGTTTGTTATTAAGAGGACTTAAACGGTGTGTGTGAGTGTGTGTGTGTGTGTACGGGAGGACCTGATGCAGCAAGTGTCTGAGCACGGATCAATGATTTTTGGGAGATCTTTTTAGTTCATTAAATCCATTGCTTGTTTTGGTGGGGGTTTTTTTTGTATTTTACTGGACATGTTGACGAGAGAAAACATGAAACATGTTGTGAGTTATTCGCTTGGACTGGAGTAACGGAGACTGTCCACAGCTTCCAGAAGGCTTTGAACTCTGACGCGTGTCTGTGTGTGTGTCTTGGTGATCCTGCTATTCCGAACGCATGAAGGCTGAATGTGGTGCGGGTCCCCTCCGGCTGTGCGGTGCACACGCAGGACCTGGACTCGCTCCCGGCCGAGAGGCTGGCCAACAATGTGACTAGACTGCCTGATTGTATATCGTGTTTTTATCTGTCTTCAGCTATGAGTTCAGATTCACTCTATGTCCAGCTGAAAGTGCTGCGGTCCATGAAAATGTACAAACCAGGGCAATGCTGTTTTCTTTTTTCTTTTTTTTTTTACTATTTGCACTTCATTTTTGTCACCAGTCGTGGAACCTGTATTTACTTGATGAAATCCTAATAACTTTATAACTCTTGTTCCCCTGCCCGACTACACCTGGCTGTTCAGAGCGGAATAAAGTCATACTGTTTTCTATTTTTTTAAAATGTATTTTTAATAAGATGAGTGTTTATAACCAAAGATGGGGTCCTGGTTCAGTTCATTTGAACAAATAGACGGCAGCTTTGGGGATAACATGGTGAGAGCAGAAGAAGGTACACCTGAGATGCGGTTATACTCTGTTGCTCATGGGACTGAGGGAAAATGGAGAGAAAATTAACACAATCAGGATCTAACAGCTTGTTCTGACCTCAGGATCAGCACAGAGGAGACTGTACGGCCATTAAATAAAAACGGGTCATCTCAGTATCCATCCCTGAATCATTTCACATCAAACAGAAGTACCAGTATGTGCTTTTTTCCTCTGTGACAGAGGATGAGGATCTATTTAAGGAAACCTCTCTGTAGTTAAATCTGCTGTGGATGTGATCCTGTGAGTGGTTGTGCGTACAGTCTGGGAGATGCTGTGTGATGGATCATTTCTCAGAGCTAATGCCAACACGATGGCAGAGATTTCACACCCATCAGTCTGAATAAAAAGCTCCGTAATGCAGTAGGAGGACATCAGACTAACCTTATTTTTTGCAGTAGACGTCTGCAAACTAAACAGAACCGTGCATTATGGGAGTTGTAGGCTGGGGTGCTTTCTGATAGTTCCTGTCCGGCTTCACGCTGACTTCTCTCCCTTTCCATGGTTGGTCAGGTCATCTTTAACATTCAGTGCTCTGCCCACTTCCCTCTGCGTACCACCTCCCTCCCCATCCTCCCCCCCTCACCTCCGCGTCCCCCGGCTGAGCTCAGCCCCTTCGGCTGGAGGCTCGGGTTGATTTGGGAGCTAAGACTAAGTCATTCGGGGGCTGTGCGCCGTGGGGAGAAGGAAGGCTCAGTCGCGGACGCCGGGGGGGATCGACACAGGACACCTGGAACCGGGGATTTGACTTTTTCGGCATAATCTCGGGTTTTGTGAGGGAGAGCGGGGAGCCATGGTGGTGTTCTCTGCACTTTGGACGCTCCTGGTGTGCCATCTTTTGATATCCACCTCAGCGCAGGTAAGGCTGGTGCCCCCTCTGAGCATTACCTATGCTGGCTGGTTTTGGCGCATTGGGCCTTCATACATCTTTGGTTAATGGTTACTGGTCACTGCTCGTGTGCATGAGGATGATAATGACAATGGCTCCTTAAGGCCTGACATCCAAACACCTCACCCCAAAAGCGGACGCTCTCTTTTATCATTTTCCCCTCGCTCTTTCTGCACAACCTGAGGAGGCAGGGCTGCTGTTTGCGCCCCTGTTCTGTACCTCATAGTGATAGAGAAGGCACGCAGGTGGCTGCATCTCTGGCTCTGGCTGCTGCCGTCTGGGGTGTGTTTGTTCTCAACCTGTGGAATGCGCAAACTGGAGACCAGCACACACAAAGCCGCTTCTGTTCATCCAGCGTCCCTCAGTGAGCACATCTGGAAAGAGCTCTGTAAAATGTGTTCATTATAACCAATTTAGTCACATGTATTGATATGGAAATCTGGTCAGCCCCTACATCTGGACTTGAAATTAAATGGAGAGCGTCTGTACGCACGCAATTTCTACTTTTTGGGATGTGATAGTGGCCTGAATAATTTGTGTCATACTTAGAGTTCTTTATAAAGTTTCTTACAGTTGATGGTGACATTTTTCCATTGTATACGTCGTTAGATTTATGTGAAACAATAGCAGTTTTTTGTGTTTTTGAAGGAGAAAATCCCTGATTTCAGTGTGTTTCCGTTGCAGAGGCCTGGCCCCAGAGGAACCTCTGGCCCAGCAGGACCCCCGGGGCCGCCAGGGAGGGACGGCACTGATGTAAGCTGACCAAACTCAAACAGGACTCCTGCACCTCACTGAGCTTGTAAAGAGAACTGTCTTTGTTTAAACTGTCAAAGCACATAGGTAGATGACATCAGTGAGTAGATACATTACATCAATCATTTTCCTTTAATAAACAACTGGTTTATTTTGCTAGATCTTCTTACAAAATAGGAAAAGTTACAGAAAGTAGATATTTGTCTTCCATGAGAACTCAATGGCTTCCATTTTTTAAGCCACCTTCAGTGTTTTGTCCTTGTCTTACACCTGAATGTCTCTAAATATTACATTTATATCACGCTGACTCCTCCCACCGTCCCTCCCACAATTTCTAAATATTCCCTCATAGAATGCAGAAAAGCAGGGTGTACAAGTGTACCAGAAATTTTGATTTATAAGAAATGTCCATACTTCTTTACTAAATTCAAAATTCTTATTGTGTTTGTACATTGAATGCCATGCTGCAGATCATATTAACTCAGATGAGCTGCTGTGTCTTGACCTTAATTGGCAACCATCTTTATAGTTTCAGCACTTATTCAGATGTTTTTTATTTAAGAGGATAGGAAGAAAATCAAACAAGGTTTTATTAACTTGCAGTTTCAAAAGCTTAAGGACCATTTTAGGCGCTGGATATTTTGTGATTGGTCAAAGTTTGGGCACACAGAGGGCCCATTCATGCATTCCCCAGCCCTGTGAGACTATCTAGAGTTTCAGCTCGCACCTCCTCCCTGCTCCTTTACCCCCCTGTCCAAACCAAACCGAGGCTTTGATCATGTGACCAATCGGCATGGGGTGGGTTCGGTGATGTTTATTCTTCCCCGCCCGCTGGGGAAGCTAAACATTGCTGGCAGGGAAGCCGCTCACACACACTTTGCCTCATTCATTGCTGAATTTGAAGCAGGATCTTTAAAAATTCATCTGCACTGAGGGGCTTTTGTGATGTACGACAAATGTCAAATTGAAATAATCTGATTATTAATTCATCTCATTTGATTTATAGGGGAAACCTGGACCTTCTGGACTTCCAGGGAAAGCTGTAAGTCTGATGACATACTAAGTCAATGTGGATAGTGGGGTGTTATTAAGAGTGATGAGTTTGTCTTTCAAGAACTATTAAACATATCAAGTACATATGGAGCCAGAGTTAGTTTTTCTGGTCTATTTCCAGAGATCAGCTCTTCACAACTACTGTTCATGTGCAGTTCCTGCTTATTATATTTCTTTCTCAAATAAACAGACATATAAACACAACCATCTTTCTTTTTTTTAATGTAGGCTGCATACCAGGATCAACTATGCCAGTTTTGTTTTGTTTTTTTCTGCATGCACATTGTCCATTTGTACATGATGCAGAGACTAAACAGTTTGCACAAAGCAAAAGAATGTTGCCATGAAGCATTCAAAGAGAAAATATGTATGAAAGCATTTATTTTTAGCTGATCTGTAATGAAAAAATAAATTCAAAAGAGACAAGCATTGCTGACAAATCCTCAGTTTTTTAAAAAGTTTGAAAGGGATTTAAAGAACATAAAATGAGAAGCAGTAGGGGTCACATTCATGGATACATACAAGGATACACACAGAGAGAGAGACTCTCCAGTTCTAATTCTTCCTGACCTTCTGACAAAGGGTTTACCTCTCCCTCATTGCACACCCTAAACATCTCAAATGTGCAAGGCCGTGGCTTGTTTTTAACTAAGAGGAATTACAGTTAAGAAGGAAATTGCTCCTTTTTTCTGAGAACCTCATTGCCCTTATCCTGCATCTTTGTAGGGACCCAAAGGAAAAGCAGGCACACCAGGGTCAGCAGGAAAACCAGGCCTGCCAGGCCTTCCGGGGATCGATGTGAGTGTGTTTGTGGTCTTTATTTCCTCTATCGTCAGCTCAGCCAAACTATTTTCTTCTCTCGATGGATGTTAGCACTAAAACTGATGATAAAAAGTGCTGATGATGATGTGAAACTGATCAGCTATTGCAGCTATCAGCAAAGGACAGAAGTGATGGTTTGTATCTTCTTTTCCAGGGTCTGACCGGTCCTGATGGTCCCGCTGGAAAAGATGGACCCTCCGGGGAACCAGTAAGTGTATCCTAATCATCATACAGTGTAAAAACAAAGTCTGCATGCTGATCTGATCATTAGGAGACTCTTACAAGGACACAGCCTGTGCTTTCTGAGTCAGTCTGAATTTGTCAAGTTGGCTGAGCATCTTGGTCGGGAATTGTACTAATGAGGGATCAGAACGGGGTTTATTTCTGCTGCTCCTCCCTAATCCGGCCTGGAATGTGCACCGTTTCCCACTAATCTGTGAGATTTTTCTGGATATGATCGGTTCATTGATGCAGACGGAAATAACAGAAACCCTTAGAGTGGCTAAAGGAAACTACGACATGTTACATTAAAGTACCGCAGCATCCTGTAATGAGGCTTTTGGCTTAAACAATTAACGTAATGGCATAGTTTGAGAAATAATAGCAAAAATCGCAGACTTGTATTGGATGAATAACCGCCTTCCACGATTGGCCTGATCAGCAAATCTGCACATCTCTGCTGTTACATGATTTTTAATCCCTGACCAAGAAGTAAACCAGATTTGGGTTGAGGAAATGAAGGAGCAAATCAGTAGACAGGTGTAACTGTGGTAAATCTTTTTTCTTTTTTTTAATCAAACTCAGATGTTTGACAGTCCCACGTGTAACTTCAGCCCTCCTACTTCAGAGTTTTTCACCGTTTAAATCCTGTCAAAACTCATTGTGTGAGGTTCCCAAACTGAAATGGCATTGTGTTTGTATAGTTGTGCGTACAGGCACCTCACATTTCTTTAGTCAATGAGGTGTACTCCAGAGTGCTGTGCATTTGGCACACTGAGGAATGTTGTGGATAGGTGTGACATCACTGAGTTAGACTTGTTTATTTGGCATCACAGCCACTTGTCACACTTACAATGATGTATTCTGGCTGTTATCTACTTTTTTCATATTCATATTCTAACAAGTGTTTTCCCACCAACCTGAATTTCCAAAGCTGGAAAAATATGTTCTACAATGCCTTAAATTTAGATGTGCACTCTTGTGAACTCGTACTACCACTCAAAAAAGCTGATAGAGACACAAAAAAAAAGATGAAAAGTTTGTAGAAAATACAGGCATTTTTGGAGGATTCTACCAGTTGTACGGACTGAAGTCCTAAAAGGACATCCATGGAAGCACAGCCTGCCTGATTGGCCTGTCCGTAGTCCAGATGTGTCTCCTAATGAAACAGATTTCCCATAATGAAGCAGAGAATCGAGCAGCCATGGACTGTTTTGTCGTAGAAAGCTTGTATTGAGCAAGAAGAAACACAGACTTGTCTCACATCACATTTACTATCAGCTGTTTTCACACCATTTAAAATTATCTTTACCAGTTCCAGTTGTCTCAGCACACAGAAAAATTGTGGTTTATATTTCAAGAAACATATTTAGTCTCACGGTTTCTGATTGTGGTCGTTTCTGTCCACAGGGGGACCCTGGACCTCCTGGGCCGGCTGGGCCTGCTGTAAGTAACCCCACACACCGTTTATCACCTGTAAAGCAGATAGCCTTTTAGTCTCTGTTCACTCATCAGATGTGTAGCTGTATCCTTCATACCTCTATTTCACTGGTAGCAGTGCCATGAAACACTTCTAATTCCTTTTTCTTTTCTTTTTTCACTCACACTTGGGATACTGGTGTGTAAACCCAACCCAAACCCGTGTTACAGGACATGGTTGATGTTGTTGTGAATACTTCCATTCATCCTCTTTGTGTTTGTGACTTAATTTGCCTTCCTGTGTCTTCCTTAGGGCAGAGGGAGATCAGGAGCCCCAGTGAGTACAGAGTGATGTTTTTTTTGTTTTTCTTTACATCTCTAATCCATTTATTTTCTCCTCTTCATTGTGGAACTGGATTCTTGTTGCCTTGTGATCTGTCAAAATTGTGTTGTGGCTCTGTTTGATGTCCTGAATTCATTCAGTGTTTTCTGCTTCCAGGGGCTGCCTGGAACCAATGGGTTGCCGGGTGGACTTGGACCCCAGGGTTCGGTGGTAAGTGTCGGAATGATGACATTATTTCACGGTGTCCCCTTGTCATCTTTAATTTGATAGAAAGTCAGTCTAAGGGTCAGGCCCATTCTCTTTCCCACCGCATGACACACATATAGTCTTTTGTTGCTCAGTTATTATGGCAGCTTAAGGGAGTCTGCAGCTGCTCCATCACTATCAGCTGAGAGCTAGTTTTGTCTTCAGGGACCCACTACAACAAAATTGTTCTAAATTACCTTGTATTGTTGCAGAAGGAGGATAAGAATAACCACTGGATGAGAGGGACAGCAGTGTAAGGATTGGCTGGTTTCCCGAGTCGCAATCTGTTTGTTTATGTCTAACCCGAGGTTCAGTCAGAGTTACACCAGTGTACAGAGTGAAAATAGAAAATGATTAACAATGTTCCAGGTTTTTTATGTTACAAATTAAGATTGTGCTTTGCTGTTTTGCTCTTTTTCTCAGGGTCCTGAGGGTCTTCCAGGACTTCCTGGACCTCCTGGCCCAGATGGACCTCCGGTAAGACCCAAAGCTGCCTTTTTTCGTTTCATTAAGTTTTTGAAAAATCTTTTAATGTGGTATAGTGGTATAGTGGCATAGCAATGTTTTGTTGTTTTGTTTGTTTTGATTTCCATTGCTTAGAGGTTGATTTTACAGTCATCCTCAGTCCGTTTTTTTCTTCTTTTTTTGTGGAAAGAATTGTTTGTTAAAGCCCTTCACACTGAAATGTCAATCATTTAAGAAAAGAATAAAGACGCCTGTAAAGAACCAGTGTTGTATCTTCACATAACAGACATGTCAAAATCAGTTGAACTTTCTAAACAGTGATAATATAGCGTTTTTGCACTAATGAGCTGATCGTCAGAGACTTCAAACCTCAAAAATCCCTGAAAACAAGACAGGTTGAGGGAAAAGAAAAAATATGGCAAGCCAAAAATGCACAGGGCCTTCAGCAGATTCATTCACTGTTCACTGAAGCCCCATCAGAAATGGTCCTCAGGCTGGCTCTGAGTCGGGGACTCCCTGCCTGAGCTCTGCCTCATGATGCAAGACATGGGCAGGAAATCAGTCGCAACAGATTCTGATGGAGTGATGAATCCTCCCCAGAGCCGAGACTTCAACACTACTCAAGTGTTGAAGCAATGGGAGATCATCTTGACAGACACCAATACAAAAAGTTAGCCAACATCCACAGAAGGACTTTGGGATGTCCTTCATGAAATATGGAGAACTATTCCTGAAGACTCCAAGAATAAATCACAAGATCATTATAAATTAAACTTCTGTGTTTCTTTGAAAACAGGTGCTTAGATCGAATGTTGCCCTTCAGGCTTGTTGAAATTGCATACATTCTGTCAGTGACTCAGTAGCTGCTGTTTATCTACGTTTTTTTAGTTTTGATTAATAAAGACACAAGCATTTAATCATTTTTAAAATGGGGGATGTTTTCTCTCCCTCTTTCAGGGGCTTCCCGGTAGTCTTCAAGACCTTAGCGGAGATCTTCTGGTAAGTTGGCAGTGATAGACCAGCGGAGTCTTTTCTGCCCACTGGGACTTTTGAATCCTCATAGTTTTGTCCGTCCATTGCAGTGTCCTGCAATCTGCCCCCCTGGACCTCCTGGTCCACCTGGGATGCCAGGATTTAAGGTAAATAGATATTCTGTCATGGCTCTTTATTAATTTTATTTTATTTTATTTTTTGTTGTTGTATTGACTGAGTTTTACCTGGTTCAGTTCAACACCCTAACCCACCCCCACTTTTTCTCTGTGTGCTTGCTCATGTAGGGACACACCGGGCACAAAGGAGATAAGGGGGAGGTTGGAAAAGATGGAGAGAAGGTGAGATGAGAATTTGAAGTAGATATTTAATGTGGGCCCATAATGCAACATTTGACAGGGCTTTTATTAACCTCTGGATCCGTTTCTAGGGGGATCCTGGTCCACCGGGACCGGCAGGTATTCCTGGCACCGTGGGACTGCAGGTGAGACAACCTACAGTATTGAAGTAAATTTTCCGCATTTATTTGATATTCTAACGAACTTTAGAGTACTTCAATGTTGCATCTTAGGGTCCACGTGGTCTGAGAGGCTTGCAAGGCCCAATGGGACCCGTTGGCGACAGGGTAAGCATCTTCAGACAAAGCTCTCCAAGCATTCTACTTTTGTTACAGCTAACTGTACAGACACCTAGATGTGTGTTAGGATGCTTTTTTTGTCTTCCTAACATCATGATCCTCTGTTTGCCTCCAGGGCTTTCCAGGTTTCAGAGGCAAGCCTGGTGTTGCCGGAATCATTGGAAAGACAGTGAGTCACTTCTTGTTTGTTCCATTGTAGTCCTAAAAGCGCTACCTATTTATGGTCCGCGGCTGGAATAGACATCTGGTCCCATAAATGAATAGCTGTGTGTGTTTTATCTGATGCCTCCAGGGTGATGTTGGGGAGAAAGGACCACAGGGATTCAGAGGACCCAAAGGAGAAATTGTATGTGAAAAACTGTACACACTTTAAATATTTACAATATATAAGAAAGAATGTGCAAAAGAGTGCAAGATTACATTTGTGTGTTTTTACAGGGAAAAATTGGTGCCAAAGGAGCTCCAGGCGGAGCAGGACCCAAAGGAGAGCCGGTGAGTTCCTTTGTTTAGAAATATAAAGTTGTATTACGCATCACCCTGAACAACCATGAGGGTCATGATTGATGTCTTGTGCAGGGTATTCCTGGCAGAGATGGCAAAGATGGAACACCAGGGTTGGATGGGGAGAAGGTAGGCTGCACTTCTTTTTCCTGAGTGATCTTTCGCATAAGTTGTGTCCTGGTCACTGAGTTGTCTTTCCGCTGATAGGGGGATGCTGGGCGCCATGGTGCTGTTGGAGAGAAAGGACCAAATGGACTTCCTGTGAGTGAAACAACTAAAAAAGATGCTCTTTATTCTTTTGCCAGATCCAAAGACTAACCCATGTGGTACTCGCTTTCATTATCCAAGTGCTCTAATTTAAACATCCTATACTTGTTTTTTTGTCTTTTTTAGGGTTTGCAAGGAAAGGCTGGTGCAAAGGGATCTAAGGGAACAGTTGTGAGTATTACAAAAAAACCCATTGCAACCTAAAACTAAGCAGCATGGAGGGTAGTTATTACTTCCCCCTCTCTTTTACAGGGTGATCCAGGGAAGCCTGGGGAGACGGGACCCTCTGGAGAGCCAGGTATTCCTGTATGTATCTGATAGGATCGCTGCGATGTGTCTCTTAATCCAACATGTTCACAGTGGAAGACTTCCTTACTCATTTAATAATATGTTATTTTCAGGGTGACATCGGAATCCCAGGAGAGAGGGGGATAGCAGGTCCCAGAGGAGTGGCAGTAAGTTAAACTTAATAGACATTAAAACAGCTCACAGATTACCGTAGGCTTGCACAGCTGCAACAGCTTCAAACACATCTGTTACAGGACAAACATATCATTATATTTGAGAGCAGGAGGACAAGAGAAAATGGAATCACTGTCCATGCATAGAATTGTGTAGCTTGACTTAAACAACTATTGGAATAGCACAATAAACCCCTGGCCTTCGAGTCCAATTATCTTCCCTGAAAAGTACAGAGTATTCCCTCTGATCCCGCAGCATGTCACTGTGGAGCTGATCAGATGCATACCTGCTGGAATGAGAGCAGGACTTCATGAAGGAGGAATTCACAAACAGTGGGACCTTTGTTTCACATCACAGGCAGCAGGAAGAGGGGAGAAAAGATAAAAGACACAGGAAAAAATATAATGTCCTCACACACTGTGCTGCATAACAAATCATTAGTCTAAAAAAAACAAGTCATCCATTAGTTTAGTTCCTCCTCCGTGAATTGAAAAGGCCATAAAGACGACCACATTAATATCGGATGTGTTTTACCTCCAGTAGGATCACACGACTCTGTCTCTTTCCTACAGGGAGGGATTGGACCAGCGGGCAACATTGGGCCTCAGGGAGTGAAAGGCTTTCAGGTCAGCGGCATCAAATCATTGATGATGATTTTTTCTTTTAGGATTATTGTATTATTTTAGGTCAACATTGTGGCTGTGGGTGTGTATTGTGTGCTGTAGGGGGTTAAAGGAGCCTTGGGTGACCCAGGACTTCCAGGACCAACAGGACTCCGTGGAGAGTTTGGTGACAGGGTGAGTTTTCACATGAGAGATATATTAGACTTATTACAATGAATTGGTCTTTACGTTTTATGCGAGCTTTGCATTTATTTTTAATGTGAATCAATTGAGCGTTTTGTGTTTAGAATTTGGTCTAAAAGAATGTTCAGATCTGTTGCACGAGTCCAGTGTGCCCTCCTTTTTTGTCCAAGCATCAGTCCAAATGACACCAGTGTGCACACGCGCACACACAGGTAGCGCAGAGGTGTGTGTGTTAAGTCAGCGTATGTCAGACATCAGCAGAAGCTCAGACTGTAGTCGCGAGGGTGCACACACACAGCGGCCCTCAGAACCTGAGGACAGAACAAAGCCGGCCTTTATGCCAGTCCTGGTTCCCCTCAGCCAGCACACCCCAACCCCTTCTCTTCCCACACATACCTACATTACTCTCAGTCCCTCTTTAATGCTTTTTTTTTTTTAAATCAACCCCTGCAGGGTCCGGTTGGAGCCTCCGGAGCTAAAGGAGACATGGTGAGTCAAAGCTCAAGCTGACCTCCCCTGACACTGATATAATGGTTATTTTTTTTGCATTCAAAGTGCTTGTCATCTTTTAATTTCTTGTTCCCTTCTAGATTTTAGTCACAAGCTGTGTGACAACTAAGAAAAATAACCCAAATCTAAATGTTGTGCTTTCAGGGTGTGGCAGGAAGTGATGGCTTACCAGGAGAGAATGGAGAGCCGGTGAGTATTTTCCAACTGTGTGCTTTTTTTCCCCTTCAAATCCAACCTGGTCCTGAGATAGCTCCGAGGACAAGAGGGTATCATCCTCAATCTTTGTCTACTTGACTGTTAATCTGCTTTCACGCGCTTATCTAAAATTATATCTTTGTTTTCAGGGACCTTTCGGACCAGTGGGGCAAAAAGGAGAGGTGAGCTGCGCCGCCATTTTATTTCTTACATTCACAGAATCTCATGATGGAACCTTCGCCCTTCAAACCATCTGATAAAAGGATTTGATCTCGGCCAAACTTACATCAGATGTTGTGTGTGGGTGTAATTAAGCAGCGCTGGCTTGATCGAAACTCCCTCAGCAAAAAAGAGCTGCCTCATTCTGATGACTTGTCAGAGTGACTGCACATGATTCAGCCTCACATTCCAGGTTTAATAGGATTAATTGGAAATAGGCACTGGAGCCTTCGCATTATTGGCCTGTTTGCTGCCATCACCACAGGGAAAGACCCGTCTCAGAGAAGCAGAAGCACGATTTCTGTAATTTGAGACACAGCATTGATGAGCGCCATGCGCTTAGACTCATTTACTGTTTGCTGTGCTTGTCGCAGTAATTATCCGGCAACGAGACGCCATATGGATCCACCCCCGCATTGTCTCCACAGACCCAGTTTGCTCTTCAGACTGTTGACGTCTAATAAGCCATTAAATCTTACAAATGTTTTACTTTGTAGGGAGATTATTTGCTCTGGCAAAGAACTATGACACTGATCAGTCTTGTTGATTGCAGTCAGGGAAGCGAGGTGAACTGGGGCCCAAGGGTGTGACGGGTCCACAAGGAGAGATCGGGGCAAGAGGGCCCGAGGGAAAGAAAGGACCAATGGGTTTCCAAGGGGAACAAGGTCTGCCGGGAATCGCAGGAAAGACGGGCGTACCTGTGAGTATGTCCGAAACTTTAAACGTCCAGCTGGCTTAAACCTAATAATGTTTTCAGAAGCACCCTTTGGTTACTCTTCCGACATGTCTTCTTCTTCTTCTGTCACAGGGTAAACTGGCAAGTGAGCAGCAGATCAGAGAGCTGTGTGGTTCAATGATTGACGGTGGGATGTCTAACCTTTATCTGTGATTGCTCCTGTTCTGAACGAGAGAGCTGCTGGGAACTAATAGTCAGATGCTCTTTGTCACGCAGATCAAATTGCACAGCTAGCTGCCAACCTGCGAAGACCCCTAGCACCAGGCATGGTGGGCCGCCCCGGCCCCGCTGGCGCTCCTGGAAGCCCTGGAGTCTCTGGCTCCGTCGGGCATCCAGGCTCCCGTGGACCACCAGGGTACAGAGGCCTGCCAGGAGAACTCGGAGATCCAGGACCCCGAGGTATGGAAAATCTCTCCAAGTGCATGAAACCAAATCATCAAAGATATGCCGGCTCTTTTCCTGAGACGCAACATGTATGGAGCTTTTGTTGAGCTTAAGTAAAACAGTTGATGATTTGACTGAGTTAAATCCAGCTATGTTTAGATTAGAAATACTCTAAAATACAACTGCTTTTTTTTTGCAATGAGATAAACCTCAGGCTGGAGGTAAAGAGGAGTACAGAAACTTTATTCTTACAATTTAAGTTCATGTAAAGAAAGAGCACTCACTGACGACATAAAGTTTTCTCCTTTCATAACAGGTGACATTGGGGAGCAGGGTGATAAGGGACCAACTGGCAAAGCTATTGATGGCCCCCCTGGAGACCAAGGACACCAAGGTATGTGGCACTCCATGTTAGTGTTCCGGACAGAAAATGCAAAACATAAAGGAATATTTCTATAACTGTCTAAAATGTTTCCAACAGGTCTTCCAGGGGTACCTGGAATTGTCAAAGACGGTCGTGATGGGTCTCCTGGAGATCCAGGTGAGTCTGGAGAGCCTGGCAGGGTAGGTAGGACTGGGCACCAGGGACCTCCTGGAATCTGTGACACATCCGCCTGCCAGGGAGCATCGGTCGCTGGGAAGTCCTCCAACCCCAAAAACCATTAGAAGTGACTTCCCGCAGCCCGTCAACCCCCCCATCCCCCACAGGGAGGACGGGGGTGACAAACACGAGGATGGGAGGAATGACAGAAAAGAGCGATCACAAAAAAAAGTCCTCTTTATTTAAATACGTGCATCACAAAATGGGGAAAAAAAGTAAGATCTAATTTGTTTCATTAAGAGCAACGGAACATCCCAGGAGTGACATGAACACCAAAGCAACTGAGAAACAAAACAAACAAACACAAACACACGAGTGACATAAAGAAAATAAGCGGACAGACGCAAGAGTGCAAGAGAACAGCTGCACGGATCATCAGACTTGACTTAAAAACAGCTGGAATGAATAACAAGTTCTTTGTGTATAAAACTTTGTACATGGTGTTCCTTTGCCGCATTTACACCCTTGTAACAGAGAACACGGCAAAAACAACAGCGAGTGTCTCTGTACTGAATGTGCATGTATCACGGCCCGTTGAACAAATCACAGGGTTACCTCAGAGAAGCTAACAGCGTGAGACATGGCGGGGAGTGCCGGGGGCTACACCTCTCCGAGGAGGAGCTGTATATGTACTGTAAAGGTAATTAAAAGACATACCCAGGTGCCCGGGAAGTGTGTAGATTAATGCAAAAACAAACATCTTTTGACGGCATTTGTTTCCGTTTTTTTTTTTTTTTCTTTTTTAAGTGACTTGTGAAGCTTCTAGATTATTTAGACTTGAGAATCACAGGCAGAATCAAACTTGTGGATGCGCAAGTCCGACGTGTAAAATACATAAAGTTTAAGAGGCTTAGCAGCTTTTTTTTTTCTGCAAAGTTTTTTGTTTTTTTTAAGTTACCCACCCCCATCCCCCCCATACCTACAATGCCCACATCCACTATGTACTACCGGTGCTGTAACGATTAAATATACATGACTTTAAATACTATTTATTATTTGTGGGTGACTGTTGTATGTACAGTAAGATGCTACAGCGACATGTTGTAAGAAAGAACAAATAAAGCCACTTTTCAGTAAAACACTACTCCTCTCTACATATCAGATGAACACCACTTCAGAATATCACTGCGCTCTAAACACCACGAACCACAAAGCTCATTACTTAACAGATGGACTCTTCCCTAATATATAAATAGTGAACAGATACGGGAAGAACATTCGACAACAATCTACATGAACAATTCATTGAGAGAAAGTGGTTGAGGGTTCCCAAAAGGTCTCAGGTGTGTTTCAAAGGGAAACAGTGCTACCTGTTTTTGTTTCTTTTTTTGTTTAGTTTTTTGCAGTTCTGTGTAAATATGGCTGAAAAGTCAGGGTGCCGATAAAAAATAAAATAAAATAAACTACAGGAACACAACGCGGTCTCCACATCCAGGAGCATGGCAGAGTCAGCCAATCAGAGGCTTCCACATCCTAAGTCATCATAAGAGGAAGATTTTTCACTTCAAACTGCAAAAACTCTTTGGCTTTCACTTCATTGGACCAACTTCAGTTTAAAGGTTACATTAAAATGCTCACATTCACTTCAGCGTATAAAGGGAGGCGGTTATTGTTCGGCTGCACGGGGAGCGCTCAGCATCTTGTCCATCTCCTGGTGCATCGGGTGATGGCCTGAAGACGAGCTGGATTTAAGGAAGAGTCCTCTCTCATGACTGAAGACCTTCTGAAACTCCTGCAAGAGAAAAAACGTTAATGCCAAATCTGTGCTGCTTCACACGTCACAGTGACATGAGGAGCCCTTTCCCTGTGGCCTTTGATGGCGGTGATGTGAGTGACCCGCACAGGCTGACCTCTTTGAAGGTGTCTCCATACATTTTATTGATGTATCCCACGTAAGCCGTGGTCCACTGCAGGGTGGTGACTTTGTCGGTGTCGGGGTCACAGAAGGGGACCATGGTGTTCAGCTCGTCACAGCACAGGCGGATCCTCTTCCTGTGCGACATGTGCATGTGAGCGTGTTTGTTCTTTAGCTCTGAAACTCACTGCTGACTTACAGGAGAACCGCGCAGGCTCTGACAGACAATGTTCTCACAACGACATGGCCCCGGAGAACAGTACAGAAAATGCAGGCTGGGAAAACTTTGATTTACCAGGCTTTGATAAGAATGCTGATTCATACTTTGTTTTAGATGCCTTATCTTATCGTTAAATGACTCAAAGACCAACATTAAGTAGCATGTTTGGCACCATGCGATAATCCTTCTGTCCCGTTGAGACTTAAAATCCGAACTTTCTAAAAGTCAAGGTGATTTTTCTTCTTGTATTAGATCATGCACCAGCTACTTATTACCTGTTGATAAACGGGTCGTGTAATGACAGAGTAATGCAGAACGCTGACAACAGTTATTAATTAGTGATGTAAAACTAAAAAGTGTTGCATCAGATCAGAAGAGGCTGTGTGGGGACGGCCCGGGCAGCCGGGCGCGGCTCACCTGCGCTCCCTCTCCTTACTGTTGTGTCTCTCCCGGCGCTGGCCGGGCGACATACAGGAGCGAGCTTTCTTACAGCCGGCGCTCTGGGGCTCTCTGCCCGGGTACAGGGCAGCCTTCACAGCCTTTCTGGGCTGAGAGTCCAGGCCGCTGGGAGGATTTCTGTAGGCAGCAGGCATCGCCACATCCTCTATGAAAAGCACAGGCATGACAGTTTGGTGCGAACCGCACAACACAGACGCAAACAACGGCAACGCAAAGGTTTGTCTGCAGATCTAGAGGAGGGGTTATTACTTCCAGCTTGCACCAGCAGCTGCTCTTCTCTTGAGTTGCAGCTGTTGGGGCAGAAAGTCTGCGCAAAAAGACTCTCTGGGTGAAAATTGAATGCAAAACTCTTGGGGATGATTAAACTCGGAGGTTTGCTCGGTTCAACCATGTGTGCAAAAACCTGTGATCACGACAGAAAGAAAAGTGATTAAACAGGGGAGTCCTGCCTCTGAGTAAAGACAATCACAAGGCATGTGAGATCTGCTCCACCATACCTGACCACAAATGTTGGTTACTGGGTCAAAAGCACTCCCGAGGTATGAGCTAGGAGCTTCAAAAAGATTAGCTCTGTCAGCTTTCATCCACTTCTGCATTTGAGGATGTGTGACTGCCTCTTGAGATTCTGTCGACTGCTGAAGAACTGTCAGAAAGCTGCAGCCAAAAAGCAGAGATTGTGGACACATTACACAAAAAATAATAACAACAGCATTAACAAAAACAGAGCGATTTCGTATTAGTGGAACGCACTTGCTGAGAACTGCAGAGTGAATTTCTTGCTGTCTTGAGGTGTCAGCGCACATGCTGTTAAATCTTTTCTCCAGGCAAACTCTGGCACCTGGTCTGGACTGTTTCTGTGTTAACATTCGGTTCTTGGATGGCGGTTCACAGGGGCCCTCCTCATCTCGGATTCTGGCGAGCACAAAGCCTGGAACATCGGCATAAGCCACCGGCGTTTTCTCCCCGGACATCACCAGACAGTAGTCATCACTGGACGTGGACAGGTCGATGGCCTCGGGAGACGTGAGGCCAGAGGGGTCTTTGACCCTCAGCCCAGGGGGCAGATGTCTGACATCGGGCCCAGTCTGCGCCTCCATGTGCGCGTGGAGAAGGTGCTGGAGGTGTGAACATTCCACGTCTGTCATCTCCATCAGACCCAGCTCAGAGCACAAAGTCTGTCCCTGGGTTTGGCTCAGCCCGACCAGGTCAGAGCTGTGGCCACTGAATGAAGGCGATCCGTGGATGGCTTTATAGGTTGAAGAAAGGGACGACATCTCTCACGCTAGAGAAAGTGGAAGTCAGATTAGGAAAGCGGTATTCGCCAAAAAGTTAAGGTGGTCACATTACTTGGCCGACTGCGTAATATTTAAAAAAAAAAAATAGCATTCATTTCGCAGTTCACATCATTTACAGTGCCTCAGAAATAATGCTTGGTTCACCACTGGCAAATGTTTCACTTAGCCTACACAAGTGGCCCGAATCATTTTCTTTTCAGAGTAAATCATTAGGTCCGTCGTGAGAAGCTACTATAGCCGACATGCTAACACAAGTTAAATTAGCTAACGTTCGATTCGACGGAGAACATCGCCATTTTAAACAAGTATCAATTTAAAAAATAAAAACTTTAAATGATATACCCGATGAGCAATTTCATTCAAACTTGTCAGTGCAGTATATGTTTGGTACTTAGTTATTCTTGGCCTCCTGTGGTATTTTCAATGAGTTCAGTGACAGCTCCTTGATCGATGGTGAAGAGTCCGACTCTTTTCACGGTCACAGCTGAGGACAGAGAGTGGTTTAACATGCCAAGAAGTTTAAAAGCACCTCTAATATTTAAATTCAATTTACCCAACCAAATAACAGCTACACATAAGGGACATTTTAATTTTTGATTTGAAATAGCACACTGACCTTAAATAGTACTGTTCATTGCTTATAACGCAGTTTGCCGTGATGCAACATCATAAAGAAATAAGTCAAATAAAAATTTGAATTCTGCCATAAATCTTTTATATTCATTTATTTCGAATTTCATAATATACATATATACATGTGTACGCATAAGGATAGTTTGAAATGAAGAACATGAGGAAAAGGAATATTTACATTGTGCCACAGGAGGTAAACTTTGTAATAACCACTCCAGCAATGTTCAAATGACTGCAAACGCAACCTTTCGCCGCCCCCTAGTGGCAATATATATTATTTCTGCAGCAAGACAACAGATCAGCACAACGTGGCTAATTCTCTTTTTTTGTATTCAAAGGTTGGGAAAGTGTCCCTCTCTTCTTAGTCTTCTCATTCACTACTGTCAGTCTACACTACATCCACAAAAGTAGACAGTATAAGGCTACTGCCAATGAGGTATTTGTGAAATTACAAATATGCTTGAAGAAAGAAAAACATTGCTTTTTATTCTTGACTTATGTATTTGTACGGTGGAATTGATCAAACTAGATGAATACAGGTTTTAAAAGAAATGCCACTTTATTAATTTCTTCCATTAAAAAAAAAACACTGAAAAGCATCATGTCTTTAATTAGCAGAATATTCAAGCCTGATGAAGGCTACTTTAGTGACACTGGGGCTACATTAAAAAAAACAAAGAAACAAGAACTTTACTTAATTTGTACAAATTCTTTGCAACCATTACCTTTAAGAAATGCATGTTAATTCTTATTTACAATATATCAATTACATTTAAGTCAGAAGTCATAATCATGAACATCTATTTTGAATATAGAAAAAAAAAGACATTGTAATGAACTCAAATTCCCCTAAATTTCTGCATTTTCAATCAAGTTCAAATGTATTTTTTGTCTGAGGTGAATTTTCAGCTCATCTCATTATTCTTTTATTAAACGTGAAGCTATGAAGCAACCCTTTAAGATGTGTTCAGTGTAACAGCCTTTTTACTATCTGACGAGAATAACCTTGTTTTAATTTATTTCTAATGTGCCTGAGTGGATGTTTTCATTTTTCATGGATTTGTACCCTTAATTGATTTAACTTTCATACACGTCATGAGGGCCCATATGCTTGATAATTTGTTGCCTTAATCAGACTTCTCCCCCCACTGTGCTTAAATGACCAGGAGGATGTCCCCGTCCTCGCCCCCTTGAGCGCCCTCTATGTCGATTATTCCCTGCTCTGCCTCTACTTGGGTCCCAGTTTTTGGAGTGACCCATTTGTGTTCCTTCCATGCCAAAGACTTCTGAGTTTTTCATCATATGATTGGGCAGAGGTAAGAGACCTTCTGTTGGAGTGGGAAGTAAGCCACCTCTTTGCCTCGGAGGTTGAACAGCGTTTGGATTTTGGGGGCCACCAAAAGATTTTCCACCTCTAATAGTTCCTGGACCAAGAGACGCATTGAATGGTACTGAACGTGGTTCACAAGAGTCTTGAAATCTAGAGACCTGATGGGGACCTCTCCTACCACGACTGTTCGTTTGACCCATCTGCCCTTCTTCACTTTCCCCCATCCCTGGACCTCCTCTATTTGAGTCAGGGAATTCTGAGTGTCTATCCCACATAGCAGGTTCATTTTCAAAGTCTAAACTTTGAGAGGATGTCATCCACATATTGGCTTTACTTGGGCCTTGCCGTTTGACTTTTGAACCTCTCCATGGTCTTCTAAAATCTTGATCAAATCCTTGCCTGTGTAATCCAGGATCCTCAATGTCTAAACCATGCCTTTCAGATCTATGCTCTCCATAATCTGAAAATCTCCCATCAGGCCCAGCACTTTCCATGTTTGAATTTGGGTATCTTTGCTCTGGGTGCCTTAAATGAGGACCACCTGGACCTTTTCTATCAAGGCCCTCCATCTCAACATCTCGGTAGTCGGAGGAAAAATGATTGAAATCTGGATCTGTTATATGAGACCCAGATCTATTCGGGTTTGGACCTCTTTTATCCACTCTGAAATCATGCTGCCTCCATTCATTACTTGGTGTATCTGATACTCGTCCTCTACCACGACCTCTATGATAGCGCCGCCCTCTATTGTCTGGATTCCTTTCATCCCTGAAAAATGGCCCAGTACTTCCACTATCAGACTCATTCCATGCATTTTCTTCTTCTCCCCAATTAGAACCTGTAGGCATCACATCTGATTTCTCCTGAAGAGATTCTACACCTCTACAGCCAGGGTTAATCCTTTCATCTACTGGACCACTTTGTGGACCTGGAAATTGCATTTTTTGTCTATGTTTTGTGAGCCATGGGGCACCACTTCCAGAGTTTCTCCATTCACTACGAGGACCTTGCCTGCCATGGTTTTTTCTGTATTCTTCAGCATCATCTTGGTTAGGACCTAAACTCCAATTGCTATGTCTGTCCCAGTTATTCCCTGAGCATTCCCCTTCATTTCCAATAGGCTCAATATAAGGGCCTTCTCTATCCATCCCTTGCTCAGAGTCTGTGCCACTTGCACATGGAGCAGAGTCCCAAACATTTGGTCTTGGTCTTCTAAAGTTTCTCCTTGCAGGCCTTGGGGCCCTAAAGTTTCTACTTGTTCTATCAGATCCTCGTGCCTCTAGATCTACATTTTCTTGAATAGGCATTGGTTTTCCCCAATCATTTAGTCTTTCTTGCCCTGAAACCTCTAAATTTGGATCTTGCTGCCTTATTCCTGAATTTCTGCCGTCTGGATCACCTGATTCTCCACCCCAACCAGGCCCTGGGCTTTCCATATCTGGACACTGTCTTTCAGGCCCAGGTTCTCTGATGTTTGAGCCTGCTGGTCTTTGCCTGTGAAAATTTAAACTGTCAATATCAGGACCTCTACCTTCATTATCTGTATTTCTAAAACCTCTAGGACCTTTCTTGATGGGCCATTGACTCCCCATTACTCTTTGCTCAGGAACCACTCCTTTAAAGTGTGCCCCACTCATATCAGACTGTTGTCCCTCCATTTCTAGAGATGGTCCTTGTGACTCAGTTCCTTCTGTATTTGCATTACTTGTTTTTCGCCCAGATGCTCTGACGTTTAGGCCTTCTGAACCTCTTCCATAAAACCCCGGACTATCTGTGTTTGACAATACATGTTGAGGCCATGGTCCTCCCATTCTTGGACCACCTCGACCTCTTCTACTGAGTACTGGACCTGGAATATCACAACTTTGACCCCCAAAGTCTGGACCTTTCCTGTTGTGTCCATAAACAATATTTGGATTTCCATCCTCCATCCCCTCATTCCCAGAATGAGGTCCTCCCTTTCTATCATGAGGCCCTGGACCTTCTATACCTGGGACATTTCTTTCTGCTTTCTGTCCAATTAAGTTCCACCCAGTAACCCCTAAATATGGTTCATTCCTATCATGACCATGTCCATCATTGTTTTGATCTCTTGGTCCTCTCCATTCAGATCCTGGCTCCCAGAAATCTGGTCCTCTAAAACCTTTCCTCTCTGGATCTCGGCTTTCTTTAGTAGGTCCTGTCATATTGTGTACACAACCATCAAATTCTGAACCTGCAAATAATTCTCCATCAGTCTTTGGATGACCCATAGGAGGACCTCTTCTTTCAGGCTCACTGAAATCTTGACCTATGGTTCCCATATTGTTTGGCATAGAACCCTCCATAAATAATGATTGGTTTTCATGCATTGGCTCTCTAGAAATTGGACCTCCAGGTCCTTTGCTTTGGGGACAAGGACTTTGCATATGGACATTTTCCCCCTGATACCCAGGTCTTCTAAGTTCAAAGTTCCCAGATATTCTATTGACAGGTCCAGGACCCTCCATATTTGGACCCCTCCTTTCAGGACATGGTGCCAGGAACTCTGGCCCCATCATATCAGATCTGTGACTCCTTATTGATGGACTTTTTCTTTCAGGTCCAAGTCCTCTAAAATGTGGAGGAACACATCTTGTTCTGTTTTGTTCTTGACCCTCCATGGTCATATATTTCCCATCAAATCCTGGTCCCATCGACTCCGGACCACTAACCAGAGATGGACTTGGTCTTTCAGATCTTTGTCCCATGACATCCGAGCCCCTTGGACCTCTTCTGTCATGCATGGAGACTTCAGTTCCCATGTTTTGTCCTTGGCCCTCCATCTCACCAACTGGCCTTTCAGGTCCTTGTCCAATGTAATCTGGTTTTATGTCATGTCTTTGGAACTGTATCTCAGGACCTCTTCTTCCTGGTCCTGCTACATTGTAATCTATACCCCCTGGTTCTCGACAATCATGCACGTTTGCAAGGTTTATTTCAGGTTCTGGTTGTCTATAATGTAAGTTTATTATGCCTTCATTGTCAATGACTTGGTTCTCCTTGTGTGGCCCTCTTCTATGAGACTGATGATGGATCCAGTCATTCTTAATAAATTGTTCGTCTCGAGGTGGATCTCTTCTACTCCTTTCAGGACCATCCCAAACATTTTCTATGTGTGATCTTTGGATATTCCAGTTTGGATCATTTGTACTATTGTGAAGAGTCCCTGGACCTTTCCAGTCTGGATTTGTTACATCTGACATGTCTTCATTTCTTTCACCATCAGGTCTCATGCTCAAGTCTGCATCCTGTCCATGAGTCCGAAAATCTCCTTTTCCCAAGAACCTTTCTTGAAAAGAACTGTGATCCTGCCAGGGTTGTGTCTGATCTCCTCGAACACCAACAGAAAATGGGCTTGAATGTGCTTCACCTCGACCTCTAATATGAGATCTGAAAGATTCTGGCTGAGGTACCCTCGCTTCCAACTTGCTGTCCGAGTTCTCTTCACAATTACGGTTCTGTTGTCTCTCGTTCCCACACCCCATTATACTGGTATTTACTTGATAGATAGATGGTAAAGGATCACTTAGCCCTGCAATGCTACTATCTGGCACAGGTGTGAGTGACAATGGGCTTTTCATGAAAGGCTTCCCTCTCTCATTTTGCATACTTGATTCTAACACTGATGAATTTAAGACACCTGGTATAAGCTTTTGCCTCATATTAGGGTACGGACCATCATGCACGCATGCATTTGGTTCCAATACGTGTTTCCCTTGAGTATCTATGAAATCATCTCTAATGCCTGGTCCAGAGCCTAAAATACTTGGCATTTTGCCTTGCATGGACCCATCTCTTAATTCAGAAACCGGGAATCTTCCTGTTCCTTCTAGATCTACCAGTGTTCCTCTGTGTCTAGACTTAGTCATATCTGGTTTTAGATCCCTATAATCTGGACAACTCACGACATGTTCTGAATGCAGGCCAATAGGTTGCTTAGAATGTTTTTCCTCTGGAACCATCATTTCTTGATTCTTTAAGGCAGTATTTCCAGACTCCGTGTGATTATCTGTTTTTATCAAATGTGCTTTGACACAGGAGATTTGTTGAGCTTCACTGCAATTGTACATTGCTACTTGTCCACCAATTGGTACACTACTGTTTTCCGGTTTAGGTAATACCATTGGGGCACAGGTATGATCCTTTACATTTCTGAATTCCTCTGTTTTGGTACAGTCACTTGTTTCTAAGCTGCAAGGTTTCACAAATTGTGGGTCTGGATCAGGGCTCTCAGGAGAATCTCGAATGGGTGGATCAATTTCTCTCAGAGGAATTGTATTTTCACATTTGTCTTGATAGAATTTCTCTTGCAGTGATGTTTTATTTTCCAGTGTAAGACAATCACTACCTGATTTATTAGGATCACTGATTGTTTTTTCATCTAGTTTAGTTGGTTGTGAAATCTCAGTCTTCACATTAAGTCCATGTGAGTGTTTATCGAGAGAGTTCTCAAGACTGCAATCAACTGTCTGTCCATCCGGATCATTCTTTATAGTTACTGGGAAGGACAATGTTTTACACTCAGCATATTTTCCAACAACACCAGAGTCCGTGTATGAAACACCTGCAGTTTCGTTTTTGTGACTGACTTCAGGGACAGGACCTCCCTGTTTTGGTGAAAGAGATACAGAGTGTTTTCTTCTCGAAGATGATGGAGATCTTCTACATCCACGAGAATGTTGGCGTGGAGAATGGTCTTTGCGATAGTGTCCCTGCCGGTCAGATGGCTCCTTAGCTCCATGCTTTGATCTGTACCTTTCACTTCTTCTGTGTCTATCCCTGTCTCTATGTCTCCTTGAATGAGAACGAGAACGCTGCTGTGACTTTCTTGAAGGACTTCTATGGCGGTCCCTATCACGACGACTCCGTCTTTTAGGCGATGACCTTTTTTTCCTGCTATGGAATGAAATTGGAGAGACACTCTTATGAGATGAACAATGTCCTGCTCTAGATGCTGCATCAATAGTCTTTGTGCTTCCTCCTTTGAATACGTCATCTTGGATTTCATCAAAAAGAGATTCATCCTCAGGATCATAAGCAACATCAGAATCCTCAATCTCTCCGGCAGAAGAATATTTTTCAGGTTCCTCACAGTTTACCTGTACATTTTCTTGTTCTGTAGAAGTATTCATTTCATCTTTTGAATTAATGTTAGCACCTGAGGCCTCCAGTTTTTTTGCAGCCATTTTTGAATCAACATTTGAATCATCCTTAGTCTCTATCAGGTTGTTGGCCTCATCTCCTGTGTTGGAAGGCTTTGATTCTGTTTGCAGTTTAGCACACTGTACAGATGAGAGTTGGCTTAGTGGTGAGGCTTTTGTTGGGGGAGACATTAAGGAATCTGAAACAGAAAAATGAGCCATAAACATACCAACAGCCTCCCTCTGCTGTCTTAGGGCCTCTTCTTGCTCTTTCAACTGCCGTTTTTGCTCTTCAATTTGCTTGTTAAGTTCCTCAAGCATCCTCTGCTGTTCACTCAGTGTTGCAGCAGAGACAACCACAGTCCCGGTAGGCAGTTTTGGTATAACCACAGCTGGAGTAGAACTTTGTGCTATAGTTGAGGTGGTAGTGGTTGCTGGGCTTGGTGGATGTTCTGACATCTGAGTTAAAACAGCAGCCTTTGTTTCAGTTGCACCACCTCGAATAACTTCAAAGATGCTCTCATCCTCTGGATCATAGGCAATGTCATCGTCCACAGAGCTGGATAATGTTGACTCATTTGTTTTAAGTCTTTCTGTGGTCTGTGGAATAACAGTTTTATGTGCAGGATCATATTCTTCTTCTGGGTCATATGGTCTGTCAAAGTCATTTTCATCCTCCTCTATCTCTTTGACTTTGGATTTCTGTCCATACTGTTGGACAATTGGATCCACCATTGATCCAGATGCTTTAGAAAACATTGGGATTTTCTTAACACTAACAGCTTTTTTTGTAGAACTTCCATCAGTGGGATCTATGGAATCAGACTGCTTAGTGCCAAATAAAGTCTTCAAAATAGTCTGCAATGGTGTCTTATTAGTGGATGATGATGTAGGGTTCTCAGTAGAGTTGCTTTCAGGTTTGGACTCAACAGAAGCAGAAGCAACAGATGAGACACAAGGAGTTGTTCTAATCGCAGACAACAGAGCTGGTGCGGTAACAGAGTTAGAAGAGTCCGATGGTGATCCAGGGCGAGGCAGTGAACCAGGAGGGGAGGTATTGCCAGGAGTCTCTGGATCATAAGGATGGAATATCTCCAATTTGTCCGAACCATAGAGGACTGGTGGTTTTGGTATCCACATGGGGTCTTTGGACATGTTAACATGTGGTCTCTTCTCTTCAATTTCCTGGGGCAACATACCAGGACGTTTTGCCTTCTGGACGATTGCCAGACCAAGAAGAAGATTGGGTCGTTTATTTTCAAAACCTGAGGGAAAAAAGAAAACATATCACTAAAAAGTTGTCCTCTGTATTCATATTTGTCTATTTAATTACTAAAACAATGCTTAATCATTGTTTATGAGAAAAAGGTCACCGGGTACAATTATTTAATTATCATTATCAGGATGCAAGTCTTCAATTACTTTGATTGAATAAACAAAGGCTAAATACATTAAATTGTTGAGTGGTTTCTTTAAAATAAGTAACAATTTGTGCCTGGGTTAATATTGTTTCAGCACTGAAATTATTAGTTAAAAATGTGTCAATGGTTTTGTTGGCTTATTCGTTTTTTATAGTTTTATTATAAATTTGAGTTTGTTCCTTTGAATATTTTATTCAATATATGGAATATTTGTGTTGAAAAATCATGTTGAATTTATATTTATATTGTTACAGTTATATTGAGACCACTTAAGAGAGAAATTAAATAACTTAATGTTGTGGTCTTTTGTTCACTCACTGGCTGTGTAATTAATTAAACCAGTGTAATACTTCTTCAATGACTATTACAGAGTTACAGTCTTCTTTGACACTGTTCTGTTGATAAAAGTAATTAAATCTGTAGTAAAAAGTTTTGAAACTTTTAAATCCGCTTTGTTTTTATTGTGAAGCCAACATCACAAATTGCTTTTGTTAGATCTTGTTAGATTCCATTTCCCCATTCTTGCTTTATATTCACAAACAACAAAAAATACATTATTTCAGAAAATCCACTTTCTTCCTGCATTATCTCTTTCCTCTCTTCCAAATTTAGAGGTTTTTGGCTTCCAAATAACTGTTAAAAACTGCAGTGGGCACAGCATGACACTTACATCCCAGGCTGCAACCTAATGGGAAAATAATTTCCTTGTGTCCTTGTTTTTCATCAGATGTAAGCATTTAATATTCTGTTATCAGAGTCCTCATACCTGGTCCTTCTAGAGGTTTCAATATGGATGGAACCGAATCCTTTGCACTAAGTGGGACAAGGTATACATCCTTGATGGACTGGCTGATGTTAGCAACCACACCAAAACGCCCTCTGCTGCTAAAATAGGAAAACAGGGAGACGTAGGCCACCTCTTCCTCCTCTGTTGCAGGTTGAAACCGAATCACACATAACTCCTATAAAAAAACACAGAAAAGCAGAGAAAACAAAATATATATTTTCAATACATTCTCATGATCTTTTTACAAGTCCAAGCAATAAGAGATGTGTCTGACTTGCCTTTGTAACAGATGTCCTAAGTTTTTCAACATAATCCCACACAGTTTCAGGAAGGATTCGTCCTCCAATCTGTATGGTTTCAGGTAGATCCTACACAACGAACAAAAATCGAAAGTTATCAAAATAAATTACGGTAAAAGAGCACAGCGTTGTGTACTGACACCATAAATGTGCATAACTTTACCGCTTTTAGATTTTCAGCAGATCCTGAAACAAGATACGTCTTTGTGGCAAACTTGGAAACGGTAAGCATGTTTATAAAACCTTTCCACAGTATGTCTTGCTTTGACAGGAACTGTGCAGTATCGCCATAAGCTGGAGATTGCAGGGTCATAGTTCTGCAAAACAAACCATAACAACAGTTAATGAAATTACCACAAATTACACTGATTTTAGTCAAATATGATAAACAAACAAAATAAAGGAATCATTCAGAGGGGTTATCTTCAAAGCTTTGATGTACCTTGTGGATGCACCATAAAGCCTTGGATTGGTGGTGGAAGATGGTTTCATTAAGATGGATTTGGGTAGTTTTTGTGGTTGTGGTAGAGAGGAGGGTGGTGCTGACTGGGAGATAGTGGGCTGTTTAACAAGGGCTGTTTGGTTATGGTTTATGTTACTGGGATTGGAGGTTCTACTGGAAGTTGCTGTAAACCTGCTTGGTGCAGTGCGGGGATCACGTCTTGTGATGGTTACTGTGGAAACTGCTGGAATCACAACTGGTGTATAGGTCCTTTTTGGTGGATTTGCTGTTGGGGTGTCTGATGTTGGGGATGCAGGGGACTCCATGATGGGGGAGGCAGGAGACTCTAAGGTAGGGGAGGCTGGAGAATCTGTTGGCGAAGCAGGCGATTCTACAATGGTCAATTTGGGAGAGTCATTAATGAGGCTGGATGACAAGTCCATTTGCAAAGACGGTGGAGAATCCATTTCAGGTGAGCCAGTTGGTGCCCGCAGAGGGGAGTCATCTTGAGCAGACTGCTTACAAGATGGCTCTTGCTTATCTTTTGATACAGATAGCTTGAGTTTCTTTTTAGCAGGCTGTTCTGCTGCTCCAACCATTACGCGGCCTTTGGAAAAAAGTAAGAAAAATTCTTATAAGAACTAAAAGAAATTGTTCAGAAACAAAATTAAAAACATAAGTAAACCTGGAACGGTTAATCACTGAAATATAAAGTTTACTAAGGGAAAATGACTTAAGTCCGACCTTTCAAACTCACCTGTGCATATCCTGCATTTCAGGTCAAAGATGTGAGCTTTATGTTCTGATGTTGTGTCTTTGAGCATGCAAGAAAGCATATCTGGAACAGCAGTGTCCTGGCTTGGTTGGCTAGCTCTTGGCTTTGCAGTGGGAGCTGGAAGGCTCCTCTTCTGTTCCTGTGAATGGAAATGTACCACAAAAACAAACATGTATGATTACCCCAAGTCAATATATTATTCCATCAATTTAACAATAATGACATAGCTACATACCGTTTTATCAGATTTTCTGTCAGGTCTAGAGGGATTCAAACTAGGCAAGTCAACCTTTACCGCTTCAGGCTTCAGCAGATTAATCACTTTAGCAGCTCCATCTTTAACCTTTATAATCAGAAACAATAAAGGATTCTAAATTACTTTCAGAGATAGGGGAATGATAACAAGAACAGAACAAAATCAGAATGTTATTTTTGTTGCCTTCCAACAGTACCTGTGTCTCAGGTGGCTCTGGTACTTTAGTCGCCTGCATGTCTTTTTGGCTCATCCTGACCAACCTGAAGGGACCAATTTCTCCACGCACAACCCGATACAACAAACCCTAGGTGATGTAAACAACAAGGCCGTTACTTTGCTCTAAAATCAAAGCCAACAAAGCAGGATGAGCTCTAATACAACCCCATTTGACATATCAAACAGTTCTAACAAAATCTACTATAGGAATGGAAATAGAAGAATTAGTTTCAGAAACTTTCAACAAACCTTGTTTCTTGGATCTTTCAGGTTGAACATTATTGTTCTGTACTTGTTCATGTATTTGCTGTCTGTGTTGCGAAATATATCGAACATTTCCATCTCAATGCTAGCGACAAGCTTCGCAGCTTCACTCTCAGACATCTCCAAATCTTCACAATCACACACCCTAAACAGCGAATAGAAGGTCAGTCGACAATTGGTGAATTGATATTGAGTCTTTAACCCTCTAATCCCTGTAAACCACAACAGCCTTGAGTTTGAAAGTTAAGGGGACACTTTAAAGCAAGAACACAGAGGTAAGTTACCAAGGTAAACAAGACTGAGGTTCATATGGGGGTAATGTAGTTCTCACCTTTTGAACAGGATGCTTGTGAGGGAACGCTGGATGCTCTGTCTGACCTGGTTGTTAGGCTGAGACGGTCTGGAGGAGGGAGCGCTGGGCGCCGGTGATACAGGCAGATTACGGGTCTCGTTCAGCAATGTCGGTGCTGAAGATGGTTTCTGGCTGGATGAGGAGGCTGACACAGGGCTGGAGAGAGGCTTAGACACAGTAAGCTGCTTCTTTGGTATAACATAGGTGGTCTTTGTGACGATCAGGGCTCCAGTCTCATGATGTCGGGCAGCTGGGTTGGTTGGACATTGTGAGGATGCAGACACAGGACACTTCGCAGGTGTAGGTGGGGTTGAGGGACGTGCGCCAGCACATTGCTCTTTAGGCATTCTGCTGTTTTCAGACTCCTTTTCTTTTTCCTCGTTTGGGCTCTGTGGTGCGGTGTCCTCAACGGTGGGCTGGGCCAGGACAGTTGTGTCTGCTGGGGGCTCCTGTGGATGCTGCCTTGAAGGTGATACAGCATCACTGCCAGCCTCTACTGTTTCACTGGGATTATCGGCTGTTATGAAACAAAGAGAAAAGACAAACATTTTACATTAACAGATGTGTTAACCAAATGTATATATTAGAGGGATGTAAAGAAAAAAAACCGAAGGATTGTATCTATTGCCTTAAAGCAAATTAGCCTTTTTCAAGTGAATCTTCAAAACTACGACTGGGACAACATAATCTTAAACATATCATCTGTTCTGCACAAAACATTAATCGAAGCATTAAGTCAATCTTCCATTTGACTTTTGTATTTGTGCATGTGAATAAACCAAAAGATGAATTGTGTAAATGCTGGCTCATAATGTCTTTCACAATCTCAAGTTACCCCTGTCCAAATGCTCTTGAAACTTTTGCTGCCACTGAAAACATTAGAAAAAAAAGTTATCTTTTTAGCAAGTTTAAATAAATGAAATGGTTTAGATTATTTGTGCATCAGTGTATCATTCAGCATTAATCAGAATGAACGCACTGCTTCAGTATTTTTCCATACTTGTCTGTTACTTGTTACATGTTTGTTCTCACCTGAGGAATTAAAAGATAACCTATACAAACTGTACCAAGTCTTCAATTAAATCTCTGTCCAGTTCTAAAAACAATTCAGTGACCGAAGTCTAACACCGTAGCATCATTCACTCTTTGGACTGATTTAACATCATCCGTTTTGCTGTTTGGATGATTGTGTTTGCTGTTGGTTACACCAACAAAACCTGCTTTCCAAAAATCTGCCTTTTTTAAATGACTTGTGAGGAAAGGAGGCATCCTGAATGTTCTTAACTTTTAAAATTCCAACATTTCTGGCTATGGTATTTGATCAAATTGACGTGATCAGCATTTAAGGTTTTGGCACTGAGTCACGGCCCATACGCTGTGTCATGATTATCCCTCCATTGTCTGCTGGAGGGCTGGAGCTTATCTCAGCTGACACTGGGTCAGAGGGTGCCACTAATATGTTTACTGTTCATGGCTGTCTCTGTGTGACCCGTGATGAACCTGTCCATGGTATACCCTGACCCACAGGCAGACGGATTAGGCTTCAGCATCAATTGTAACCTTGAACTGATATAAGCTGGTATAGAAAATGGATGGATAATTCACTTGACATTCTTTATTTGGAAACAATGGCAGGGGGACTTCCTATGATGTACCTCTTCCAACTGTAATCTCTTCATTCTTTACGTACACACAGAAATATTGTTGTCCCTAGCTAGTGTTACGGAGCTAATTGTCCCTCTTCGCTGTTATCTCAGACGTCAGCTCATGGAGGCAGATGGCCGTCCTGCCCGAGTCTTGTCCTGCCTGAGGTATCTTGTTGTCAAAAGGGAGTTTTTTTTTATTGTATAGTCAGCTTGTGTACACTGAAGAGGTACTGGATAGAGTTTTGTTGCAATATGTAGATGGGAGCATTTCTTTCTGGCTCTGTATTAATGTAAATAATTTAATAGGATTAAAAGCATATTAGAATAAATGTATGCATATTACAATTATGTATATTAAGTAATACAAACAAATAACAAACTGAACAATTTCCCAATTGACATCTGCAATGTCAAACTAGTTATGAGAATAATTTTTGTTTCCTGGTTTCACATGGGATGTTTTTCATTATGCACAGAAATGTGTAGATTGCTATGCAATCTGCACACTGCTACAGTATAGCATCTTAGTCCAAAATATGATTCCATTGTTACTGCAGAATATCCAGAAACTTACATTAAGGAAATATTTTCTTTCTTTTCAACCATGACCGTCAACAGCATCGCTGTTTAAAACAAAGGTGCTCGTGCCAATCAAAGCCCATTAAAGCCTCAGTAACATTCTTGATTGACATCTTAAAAATACAGCCATACACACATTGAAAAACCTCCGTGGTGTGTTTTTACAGTCTAACAAGTCTTTCCCCTCAACTTGCGCAAATTTCTGCCTTTATGATAACACACTTTAAATCAAAATTCTGCAGTTTTGTGCTATTGGTCTCCTATTATACTTGTCTTCATTAGACAAATATGATAATTGTATTAGTGCAACTAAAAGTGAAAGTATAGCTTGTACATGTATTTCCAGCTCCATGATGACCTAAACAAAAAAGCAGCCTCCAAACATTTACATAGTACATAGATCTAGTTATAAAGAAACAAAGAAACAAAGAAAGAAAGAAAGAAAGAAAATAAGAAAGAAAGCAAGAAATGCATTTTAAATAAATGCAGATTCTAAACTAAATGTATTGTTACAGAAAAAAACAAGTGTAAAGCACTCTGCTGTGTAGGAAAATCAAAATATCCACATTCACAGAGTAGAGAGGACAGTGAGTCTGATTCAGACATTTTAACTGTCCCTCTGCTTCAGGCAGCAGTGTCCAAACCTTCCTGACGGAGCATATTTTATAATGCAAACTTACCCAGCACTCCCTCCTGACATTTTTAAGCGTAAAAGTTACACCCAAAAAAGTACTGTTCTGTCCCAGTATATTTTGAACCGCCTGACCAAGGGCTAAAAATCAGACCACATACCAACCTTATGACATGCCTGCTTTATCTCAAAAAGAGCAAGGCCCAAGGGTGTAGTGATAAAGGCAGCAAATGATGCTAGGAGTAAATGGACAGATATGCAATTTCCCATTTGATGTATCAGTTAAGAATAAAAAACTTTGTTGGAGTATTAATGTGCTATTGTGTGCATGTAAGTTGAAGTAAGCAAAATAAATGGTTTGTTTCCTTGGTGTAGGTGACGTTTAAAGCTATGACACGTAAAGCTACATCACGGAATTGTATAAAGCATCTTTGCTTTGAACACTGATCTTTATCCTAACCTTTTACCACTTTCACTGATCATAGATCTTTACCTACAAGATGCATAAAAGATACTCACACACAACCCTCCTCCATACAAACCGTGTGAGGAGAATGTTCATGCCCCACAAATTTTTCAGACCATGTGTGTGCACACTTCAGGGGCAGTGTAATCCTGATATCAGGTGTAGACTAGGGAAGAAGAGGCCAAATAAAGTCCCTTAAAGAGAAATGCACATATTTTCCAGCCTACTTTTATCAATTGCAACTAAGTAATTGCGCTGCTATAAATGACTGTCAGCAAATGACTTCAGCAGGCACCTCCAATTAGATTTTAAAAGGATAACAAATATTCAGACATTCTTCTGATTTTCTGGCACGAGGCTGACTCACTGGCCTCCAAAGAGCTGTTTAAGATAAGAGCATTCATCCCATAATCCACCTGTGCATGTGTCTCCCTGCAGATCATCCCCAAAAAGGCTGACAGTTAAGATTAAACAGGAGCTGTCAATCACCATCTTTTACCTCTGCAGGGATGGACACAGAGCTGAACACTTGCTCATTTAAAAAAAAATTTAAATCACCTTTTTCTTTCTGCGCATGATGAAGACCTGAGATCACAAAAAAGAGATCCGCTTTCATTCTCGTGACTTTTGAAATGTGGTATAAACATGACTTTGATATGAAACTGACAAATTATCTTAGTTGCTGCTTCACGTGATGCGTAAGGATGAGAAATGGGAGTGGAACTCAAGTCTATACATGTGCTTGCACTTTGCCAACCAATGTTAATGGACTGAAGTGTCTTTACAAACATTGTGTCAATTTAAAATATATACATTTCCTGGTGGCCTGAATGAAAAATGGTAAAAAAATAAATAAGATCAAGTCAGTTTCAACAAAAACATCTTAAATGAGTGTTAGTCAAAACCTTGTCAGTCCCAACGCTGACGCTTTCTCTCTTTACATCCCATTTTTGCATTTGCCTGGCTTAGCACACGGTAGTGTCCTGATTTATCTTTCTTTAAACCACATGTTGGCTTGTTTGCATGTGCTGCTGTGGTTTGAATTTTGGATGAGTAAGACTCAATTTATTCTTATTACTGTATTTGTTGAGAAAATTTTACAATTTATTGTTGGTAACTATAAACTGACTCCAAATACCTTTTTTTTTAAGATCATAGTTAAACTCAGAAATGAAAGCTGTGTAGTTTGCTCTGAAATATCCAAGATGAGCACAGCCAGCCGAATAGATCTTTTGTATCCCTGCAGACGATGTTTTTTACTTTTTCAACCTCCCTGTTTCACAACTTCATTTGTGGACATGCATGTTTCCCTTTAACAACGTTTCCAATTTGTTTGTAATTCTGCTCAGAGTTGAGTTATGTAACTCTTTCCATGGTCAGTGCTGAAAAGTCCCTTGGGACTTTTCGTTTTGTCAAAATTATAACATGCTGTTTTACTAGTCCAGAATGTACAGCTGTGTTGACATTGTGGCTCAATATTTTTTTACTAAATGAACATCCTCCCACTGTGTTGACTCCATCGTTTTTACTCACACCAGCAAATGTAGTCTTTGTTGCAAGTCAAAAAAGGAAAGTTCTCTTAGCATAAATCTCCTAGCCAACATGTAATTCACTAATTGAGCCAAGAAATAAAGAAAAAAAAAATTCTGTATCATGTTTTAGTCTCTGAAACATGTCAGCAAATAATTCAGAGCACGTGATTGTTTGTTCCGGTTGCTTTATACTGTCCGACGACCTACAAACTGCTTTCAACTGAGTGTGGACTCGTACAGATACATTCAGTACCCAGATCAACAGAGAAAGGAGGCTCATGTGTATTCTCAGTCATTTTCTTTGGATCATTTCTGTATGGCTTGCTGCCTCATTGGAGCTTTGGACAGCTACACCCACTCCTTCCTATTTCCAGCAAGGAGGGCGAATCTCCAACAAAAGGCCACTGTGATGTGCTTTGGGGAACAGAGACAGCAGCACGCTCCTGACCAAACGGCCCACACCTTCTCCTGAAATATCTTGCAATTGTATGCAAACATCTTCGGTCTGAAGCCCTGCATTAGGGCTCCAGTCGACCGTCAGGTACAATCCAAAGTCACAGAAACTACAGTTTGGTTTGACTTCAAGTCTAAGAAAAGAGGCTAAACATAGAACACTGAAAATATGCAAAATAAGGTCTTGTATGAGGATAAAGCACATGTACAGCTCATCAAATCACTGATCTTCCGATTAGTTAATTACTACTATGTACACTTGGTCTACTTTTTCACTTTTCAAAACAAAGTATGCAACATAGCACTGACCTAACATAGAAAGAGGAAACTGCTTACACACCTAATCATCATCAAGCGAACAATTGGACATATTTTTCTCTACCTAAAAAAATAACCCAGCAGGCTATCATCTAGATTAATTGTTTTTATTGTGTTCTCTTGACTAATCATTGTCAGAAATCCTGCTTCTTTTTCTTTAAAATAAAGCCAAGGATGGAAAATCGGTGTGTTAAACATACATTTAAGGGAAACATCAAGCCTGGGGCTCAAGTGAAACAAAGTTTAATCTAACTAATTCAATCCATGTGATCCTTTGTATGTTTTTTTTCCTATTATTCAAACAACTGATTATCACTGAAGATCCTTTATACCTATGCAAATACGAGTTGCTGACAATCTGCCGTGATCTGCTTGTTAACAAGTTCACTGGAGGGAAAACATGAGAAAATGGTGCTAGCCGCTCAAAGAGAAACCAAAACCAGTGCTTCTGTTATATAACAAATTTCAAGGCATTTTGATTTATGAGGACGATAAGTTAAGCTCAACCTCCATCTTTGTCCATTAAAAATCTTTTGAAGAATTCTAAATATGTGGAACACGTCTATGGATGAATGGTGGGTGAAGTGTTCATGAAATCTAAACACATATCTTCAACAACAACAAAAAAAAAAAAAACCTTTTCAAATGCAGGGGAATTAATAAAGCCATTTTGTTGCAACGCTAAACATCTTGAGCCTCTTTTTTTTTTTATAAACATTGAAAAAAGTTCAGAAGTATTTATTCTTAGAATGATCCAAACACCAAATGTTAACGAAAAAGTCACTGTGAGTATTAGAGGTGCTGGTAGCTCTTGTTGGCTGTATTGTTGTCTTTTGGCCAGTAGAGGGTGCTTGTGTTTTACAATAACTTGCTTATGAAACCCAGCAAGCTGCTGATATCACACAGGACGATGACACGCAAACATGGGGAGCTTGATGTAAAGAATAAAGAAAAAGAAATTGAGAATAGGCCGACGGTAACGTTAATGGTAGTGTTAAGTTCCCAAAATCTAAATACCCAGACTGGTCCACAGGAGTCACATGCCTTTTCCATGACAGCTCCTCTCTGTGATGTGGTCAAAGTGCAATCGAACTGGACTCGGTTTGCAGCGTTGAAGGGATGTAAAACACTGCAAGCGACCTTTCAGCTTAGACTTATGACACAATGAACAATGTCAATGTTTGGGAGAGTCTATCGGTGATAGACTCTAAACCAGCACATCATGTGTCAACATCTCCATGCTGTTTTGTGGATAAAAAAAAAGGAACTATCAGTAAAAAGTTTCACTTTTGGGAAAATGCTCATTCATTTAAACAGAGTCTGCTTCAGCGCCACTATACGTCCAAGTTTTTTTTTTTCAAAAACATAGAATGGAACTTTTTCTCATTAATTGAGGCCAGTACAATAAAATTGTGGATTTAAATCTGAAAGATGTCTGCAGGAAATATAAGGTTCTTTATAGATTGTTCTGTTTCTCGCTCTGCTGAGTTATCAACCAGTGGTTAGTGCTTTATTTGGGTGAATGCTATCAAAGTTGAGTTGTCACTGTGTTCCAGCCTTCAGAGGTATCCTCACCCACAAGAGTTGGTACCAACAGAAATTATTACATCAGCAAACCAGGCTATGTCAATTATGTGCATTTGCGTTTTCTCAGTTGTTTTAGAAGTAATTTAATGACAATGTGTGGAAACGATTAAACATGTTGTTTTTCCCAATAAAGCCGGTGACAGCTTGGATAAGCCCCAGCCCACAGCCCCCCTGACCCTGCAAGGAATAAACGGTATATACACCAGACAGATGGATGATTTATCCAATACAACAAATCTGAATTAGGTGTAATGAGATTACTAGTGTAATTCTTACATTTATTTTTACTTGCCTGTAGCTAAATGTAACATATATGATACTGTGGTATTTTTTTCTACTTTGGAAGCTGTAGGAATTCCGACCAAACAAGTGACAGATGAACCTAAAATGATTTTAAAAAAAACAAACAAAGGAATCCCTCCATGTGTGCCAACATAATTATTCATGTTTCAATCTTTGCAGTCTTTGAAAGGAGCTGGGAATGTGTAGACATTCATGTAGTTATGAGGATAAGCATCATTCCACAATTCAAGGGCTCTTCGTCTGTTAAAGATTATGTTTATTGATATGATAGTATTGGATCTAAAGTCGGACTGGTGACCTTAGTGTGTGGATTTTATTTTTTATTTTTAGGATGATTTTAAAAAAAGTGCTTTAAAGAGGAAATGCTCTTATGGTTATATGTTCATTTTTGGTAACAAGCAAAGATGTATGGGACTTAAACACAAGTGTGTGGGTATCTGTTTTCAATGTGGGAAATAACTTTACTCTTTTTTTTCCTATTTAACATGCAGAAAACTAGCTACTTAGACGGGAAAATAATAGGCTGAAACCACTTTCAACTATAATCATTTTCCATCACAATTACAGGGTGGATGATGCCAAGAATAACAGGTCCCTCGACATCCCCCTACCAGCATGCTCACAGAAGCCATTTACCGTATAGATATGCTGTATTTCCACTTTATTCAGGGTGCTTTCTGAAATATAAGTTGTGGACACAGACTGTCAGCCCACACGTTGCAGGTGATAGAGAGCATTTGATGATTTCTGGAATCTATTAACAAAAATGGACCATTATGGTAAAGTAATGAATTAGGAAGAAAAAAAAAGAAACTCATTCCAGCTGTAGGAAGAGATCAACTGACTGAAATACGCTTAGTGCTCAGGATAGGGTTTGCTTTTCTTGAGATGAGTTGTTTGAAAAGCAGAGGCTGACATTTGAATATCAGAAATATTTTAGAATGAGTCATTTGTGACTTTTTTCAGTTGTATATACTGATGGAAAAGAAGCATGTTAGAGCGAGTAGAGCCAATAGCTTGTGGTCTGGATCTCTGTGAATAACTCTTTGTAGTAAAATGGGCACCAGAACTTATGGACACTGGGAATGCGAGGGACACCTCAGCTCTTCAGACCACACTCGGTTGTCGTGGTCACAGCTTTCCTGATGGGGGTGGGGGGGGCATCATGTCTTGGTCCGCCTCATCCCCAGATACCATCCCCTGGGACTCGACCACTGCCATTCAGGAGTGAGCTGCTTAGTCATGACCGTCTCCAGAAATGTGTCAGCACTTCACAGCTGCACAGCAGCTCCACGAGGCGTCAAGAGGAGGTGGTGACGCTGGTTAATGAGTGGCAAGTTCTCTGCTGGGTTTCCCTGTCTTTTTTTTCATCATGTTCTTGTGGTAGTAAGAATTCTTTTTACCATCAGTATATATCAAGACTCATTCAAGTCACATTCATGTAGAAATGTCCATCCACCAACTCGCTGTCACTGTCTATCAGGCTTTAATCTACTTTGATCTTTTAGATTTGAACTGTTTAAAAAATCTGTATCATAGGTAACAAGCTGCTTTATCTACAAATGTTGATCTGAAACGTCTGCCACCAGCCAAGTATCCAAGAAGTGTAAGAAGTGCAAAAAGAAGAAAACTGCTTTCCAACAAGGAGTGTAGTTTATCTCAAGTAACCAGTTTAACTCATGTGATTCATGTCAAACGCTTTTAACACCAAAAACTGATCTGAATCACCAAATCTGTGTTGGTGTGAAGGAGCAGACAGATTTCAGGGGCACAGTGAGAATTTTAAATGATGGTTGAGAAAAAGGATTGATGTGAAATTATTGGCTTTACAGATGAATGGATTGAAAGACAGTTGATTTGGGCCTCAGGAGGCTAGATTATTCTGCAACCTTTCACTTCAGCTCTTGATATATACTGAAATTGTGTTGACTGACATAAAGCTTCTTTTCAATATTCAACCTCAAACCAGAACCTGGTTTTAGATTATTTTAACAAACCTTTCAACGGCTGAGCAAATGTGTCAGTTTTTATATGTTTTTTTTTAGCTATTTAAAGGAAAGCTTCTCTGTTGTTTACTTAATTAAAACATTTGAGCTACTACCAGACTTTAAAATATTGGAGACAGTTGTGTTCCTTGTGATCCTGGAATCTTTACCATCTGGTTGCCTGAGCAAACTATGACTTCATACTGCTCACTTTCAGTCAGTTGTATGGAGTTTGACTTATTTGTGCTTACAGTTGATATCTTTGATAAAATCAGATTAATTATAAGGGTGAGAGAAAGAACAGAGACTGACCCTGGATAAGTGGTAAAAGGACATTTAAAAAAATTGTAGTTAAACACTTGTTTACTGGTGTATGTGTGTATGTGAGTGTATGTGTGCAGAAACAAAGACTGTGTTCGCGGCACGACTACAAAGATTATAACTCAGAGTAAATGAAACTCCACCAGAGTTTTTCTCGGCCCTGGTTTAAAGTGTTATTTTCTTCACATTCAGGATTTAGACTCTTCCAGAAGCTCAGAGAGATGGAGCATTTCACTGCCACCAACACCCTGACGTCACTGTCACGGGAAACGTGACACCGTATCTATCAGTGAACTCCAGATGGAACCTCTGTGCCCACAAATCAGCTTCTCACCGTCTTCTTCTACACCCGCTGCCCTATTCAGTCTCCTGTCCCAAAAGCTCCTCTGTGTCAGTCGGTGAAAGTGTTTTTGTGTTACGTACGGTTGGGGAGGTGCGAGCTGACATGATGTAAAATTCTGATTTCTCTGAGACACAATTAAATGTTTTTTGTGGATTATGTGGAGCAGTTAACTGACAAACAGAAAAACAGCGTGTCAGTCCCTGTTGGAAGTGTGAGAATGTTCGAACAGAGTTCCTCTCTCCATGAACGGGCAGCTGTGGGACAATGTGGTGGAAGACTATATATAGTTCCTATTGTATGATCTATCAATTTTTATTTTTATTTTTATTTTTTTTACTGGAATATGAACAGAAGAGGCTTTTGGGAGTACTTCGGAGCAAAGTAGGCTGACCAGAGGCTTCCATGCAGCAGACCCGGATTCATTTCCCGATCCCACGTCCCAACCTGCAGCCATTTGCTGCATATCGTTCTCCTTTAATTTTTTCTAAGTGTTTCCACTGATAAACAAAGGTCAGAAGAATGACCTTAAAAGAGGCTTCCTCATGATACCGAGACAATAGTATACAGCACTGAGCTTAATGTTTAGCCAAGTTTAGTCTGTTCTTTAGTTTTCAATGGTCTGTCAACAGTTTTCAGTGGGCTACAGCTATAAAGTACCACTTAACTTAATAACGATAATTGTCAATGGATACTGCAGCGTAAATGTATGTATACTTTTTTTTTGTTTGATATAAACATTTTTGAGTCGAAAATATATCATCCAAGCATGTAGTATGAAGTCTGTCATAACACCTAGCATAAGCCATCAGTTTTTAAGCCATTTAAATGCATAAATGTTTTGTAATTCTATAGTGTCCTAGATTGGAAAATAATGAAAATGAAGAAGAAAAACCCTTCACATGGCAAAATAAAAAAGTCTTATCACACATCTTTGACAAAAACGTTTTGTGAATCTGCTCTTTTAAAAAGGCAGTGAGAGTAGAGCATGTAGTAAAGATGTTTAAAATGTCACTGAATGTAAATATGTCGGCACAGTCATGCTGAATGTGAACTTTTCAGTTTACCGGTGCGGTTCATGTTGAGAAATTGATCCAAAATCTTAGCAACTGCTCAGGTCACAGTCACAATTTTCTACCAGAATGAGGAAATATTTCCATCTCATGTTCATTGATCAGTTATTCACTGATTGCCATGTGTGGTTTGTGGTGAGAACATTTGAGATTGCAAGCTCAAAGCGAGGTTCCAACATGTGAACACTGAATGCAGCATTGCAGTAACTGTTCCCACACACGTAGGTGTGTTACCTTTGAGCTTTAAATGGACTTGGTTGGTACGGTTTTAGCCCGACATTTTGGACACCAGAGTTAAAAAGAGCAGCTATGAAAGTGATCATACTTACCCACTGTTGACCACTGTAACCTAGTGATTCCAGAGAGAACATGTAGATGTACAAGTGTTTGTGTGCTTGTTTCTGATTGTGTTTTTAAGTGTAAGGATTCAGAGGGGTGGGCAAAAAGACACTTTGTACTTTCGGCAAGAACAGTTTGAATGTGTACGAGTATTAAATGGTACATACATGTGGTGTTTAAGTTAGATGACGGTATGGATGTAGACTGAACATCTGTGAGACTGGGGCTGCAGTCTACAGAAGACGTAGCCACCTCCAGCTCTCCATCCTCCTCCTTCATCATCTCTTCCTCAGCATCGTCCAAAGCTTTTTCTGCCAATCGTTTAGACGTCCGACCTCCCCTCTGAGCCTGTGATGAAATGTATCAAAGGTAAGGATAATTCAGTCATTGATATTCAGACATGCAGGACCTCACAGAAAAATACATTTCAGTCTGCATGTTTTTGCTCACCTTTGCTGTTACAGCTTTTCTCGGTGCCCGGCCTTTAGACTTGGGGACCTTAGGCCCAGAGAGAGTCTTCATAGTTACAGCAGCATGCTGAAGGATGCAGTCGGTACCACAGTAAACAGAATCCGGTAGCGCTTGTTTACAGCAGCCAGGCCCAGTGCATACTGGAAGACAGCTGTCTGTCTCCATCTCAGTTTTAACTCTGGGTTCAGGATCAGTTTCAGTTTTCGTCACCTGTGCCTGCTTCTCATGCTCCGGTTCCACAACCACTACAGACTCCTGAAAACAACATTTTAATCACCCACAAAACAAGTTTTCTGTGAGAAAAAAAAACTGTCATTGTCTGAATAAACATTATACTGCTAATGAAATTTCACACGTGCTGTGAGAAAAGGCTCAATGTAAATTAAATGCAAATGCAATCAAGTTATTTATATTATAACTGAACCATGGGAGCTACCACCAGACTAACAATCCAAATGAAATTCAAACCTTGAGGGCTTGCCGCTCCTCTTGCCTTTCCTCTTCTTCATGGGAAGGACTTAGTGTCAAGCACTCTGAAAAGCTAATGCTTGGGTCTGGCAAAGGATGAGACTCAAACTGTGCTTGGTTCTGCCTCTTTGCAGTGCACGGCGGGCATGTGTACTGCCCCTTCCCCTCCATCTTCCGGCCTTGTGTTTCATTAATACCGACACAATCACCATGGAACCACACCTGGCAACTGCCACAGCAGATCATGAACCTAAAACAAGTAGCGATCAGGAAGTGAAACTAACACATGGTTCAGGAATGCAAACCTCTCAACCAAATAGATTCATTTTCTAAAAATGAGCATGTACCTCTTATTTTGTTTCTGGTGGCAGATGCAGTGCAAGGCGTTGGAGTCATACCCCTGAGTGTCTGATATGTGTGGAAAACCATCTTCAATCTTGTGTTCCTTCTCCCTCTTCTCTTCTTCCATCTCCTCGGGTGCATCATCATACTGGCCATCATTTACAGCAGTGCCCTGGTCTAAATCACTGCCAAGGATTATGCAGTCTGATTGTGACTGCTGATCAGGACTCAGGGTGACTTTAAAATGGGCAGGTGACACCTCCATTTCAGGAGGGGTGCTAATATCATCGTCTTTCTCCTCTTGTGAATGTTGCCGCTCAGTTGTACCAATCAGGATCACGTCATCATTACTGTCGTCATCGTCTACAATGACTGACGGAAGCTCCCCCACTCTGCCCCTCCCTCTTCCCCTTCCCTTCCCTTTTCCCCTACCTCTTCCTCTGCCTCTCGCCCTTCCTCTGGCCTTTCCTCTCCCACCTTTACCCCCTCGAGCCCTTGAGTTGCCCTGCCTACCACTGGAGGCGAGCTGCTCCTTGATCTGTAATAGAGTCATTTCATCACTGTCATCATCTTGACTAGAGATCACTACCATATCATGGATCTCCCTTCCAGCTACAGTGTCAGGCACAGCAGGCTGTTCAGTCTCCATGTCATCCACATTATCAGTAAACTCAGTTTCTTCTACAGCCTCTGGATTCAAAGCCTCAATGGTATTGGTGGTAGGGACTGCTAGTGCATCTGTCATTGTCATGGGCAAATCCTCATTCCCCCCAAGCAGGGAAAAAGCAGTGTGAAAGGCAGAACCAAAATCCTGCCATAGACTGGGATCGAGGCTCCCTCCTGCCGAAGCCTCTGAGGCTGCCTTGCTGTCCTCTGACACAGGCGAGGATGGTGCTGACCACTCCAGGTCATCTAAAACACTTCTAGCTGTCTGAGCATGTTTCCCTGTGGTGTGGGTCTCTGAAGAAGTTTCAGGTGTCTGGAAGGTTCTACGACTTCTGCCTCTCCGAACAAGTGGAGGACTTCGGGTTAGGTCTCCCACTTCTTCCATGAACTCCCTTCTGGCAATGGTTGTCCGTCTGAACCCCCAGGACTTTCTAACCTCAAACAAGGTTGGCCTAAAGGCGGAATCTGTTCCCTCTGGCTGGTTCTGCTGTTCTGCTTTACAAAAACAGAGGCAAAGAGAATGAACAAAACCAAAACCTCTTTCTTCTGACAGTCCATTTAAACAAAACTCAAAGTTGTTGTACCTGAGACATTATCATCATTAAAGGGATTGTTATTTTCCATAGGGTCCATACTGACATCCAAAAGGTAGCAACACTGTTCAAAACCAAAAGAACAACTTCCATTGAATAAATGGAAAAAAATAATATTCAGTGCTACTGGGTTTGTCAAATGAGAGATAAATGCAGAAAAACATGTACCTCTTCAACCTCTATGGTCACTGAAGCCCAAATGCTTTCATGATGCACAAAGGGTCGTCCCAAATGCCTTTCTGTGTATCTGTGAAAATGACTGTGTTAAAATACACCAAAGAATCTTAATCAGATAACCAATAAAATAGGTCACAGAAAACCCCACAATACAATATCAAAAATAAAAATAAATTCTATACCTATATACATGTTCTATTTTAAAGTTTTTAGACAATTAGAATTAAATATAAACTGCTCTCCAGTCAGTAAACTAAGTTTAGTTTACTGTAAAAATTGTGCTTGAACTAGCTTTATATTTTAAATACACTCACTGTATGATTTAAAGGTCTTTCACCTAGCCAAGTACAAGCTAGCTCAACCCTGTTATGATGCTGATTTACTTAGAATTTAAGCTTTTACCACTTCTCCCACGACTGCTGAACTGCATTCATTTAGCTTTTAACCCATCATTTTTAAGTTGATCTGTGTAGCATTAGCTATCCACATGTTTACGGTCCAATATGGGGTTGACATCCAAAAGTAGAAAATTGTCATACTTTGTCTATAAGAGGATATCTGTCGAGACACACAATGTCTGAATTATGTGCCACACTTGTGGTTTTATTTCGTGTTATGTGGCAATATCTACCATCGTAATCTCTTGTCTGGCTAAACTACGATTGCAATATACTTCAACTGGATGCTGGTTATGGAAGTCTTAATTCCAATTTACACAGAAACGAAAATAACTGGCTGTGTTAATCTGAATAAGAAAAATCAGTCATCTGTAAAACCACAGGAACTAAACGCCTTTGTCCTGTTTACACTAGCAAGTTTTTTCGTAAAGTAACAGATGAGTCGTTGAAGGAGACCGACATTGTTTTCTGTAGCTAGCCTAGATTAGCTAATACCTAAATTTGAATGATACTAAACCAATAAGACACTAACCGAATGGTTTCAAATTATATCAGCTGAGGAACTGAATGCTGTGTGCTCATACGCAAACACAAGTTTCATACCTTCGATGTAAATTATTATTTTCCTGTTGTTAGATTCGCTCAGCTACCAAGCTAGCACAAGCTTCCATTTTCTCTACCTACTTGCTCCAAATCTCGCGAGATCTGCTTTGCACCCGATATTTGCTTTTCATTTGCCGTCAGTTGATCGTGAATTGACACCGAATGGAAAGGGGGACAGAAGAACTCATTTTTTCATGGCAGCAATTAAACTTGGATTTCCACGTATGAAAAAATATAGAATGCACAAATTTTACAAGAACATTTTTTTTATTTTATCGTCACAACTCCATTTATGTATGTACAATATGTAAACAAGAACAAGACACAAGTTCAACACAAACATGTTCACAGGAAATAACTGGCAATAATCCAGTTTTTAGTCATATCTACCCAGTTCTTTCACAACATCTGACTGGGAATTCTATCTGCTTTGGGTAACCAGCTAAACAGAGACTTCACTCAGCGCTGACATTCGTGTGAGATTTATTTTCAAATAACCATTTAGTTTTTTTTTAAGACACATAGAAATGTGATTTCAATAAACATACTATAAAAACATATAACACTATAAATATTGTTCTTCTTACAAAAACTTTGTACAGGTTAAATTTTTTAGTCTTTTTGATAAATCAGATTTTTTTTTCATGTGGCATATACAGCATGGAACTACAATACAAAACTGGTATTACACAGAAATGCCACCACTGACAAAGACAGCATGATTTGATGGATTGAAATGTAATCTTCATAACCTCCATCACTCAGCCAACATGAAACAGATTCAGTTTAAACCAAATGTGAAACTTTAGGGTTGGGTCAAAAGATATCTGACATTGTGATGAATGTGTATCAACTGCTAAAGCTGTTTCTGTTATTTTGTCCCGCAATATGGAGATCAACCAAAAAAAACAACAACGTAAAAAGCCAAAGTACTTCAGAGCAGCATTGAAAGTAATAATAATAATAAAAAATATTCTGTCAGTTGATACAATCATTATCAGAGCTGAAAAATCAGTAACAGAGCTAGAACACAAAACTACATTATGAAAAACATACAAACACACATTTAATTTCTCAAGACAAATTAGTTTCACATGGTGAACTGACCTGAACACAGATGTGGAAACTGAGAATGGGGTATAAACTAAAAACTGTCCATCAAGAAGATGTACAAATGGGAATGAAAACGTTGAAGTGATTTGTCAAAAAGGTGCACCATCCCCCCCACCCCCCCACCCGAGCACCGAGTTTGGCAGCACTAAATGTGCCTGTAGTGTAGCAGTTAGGTCACAGTAACGCCGGTACTGTCCTTGCTTTTGTCCACATATGTGGGAGAGTTGCTTTTGTCTGATATTGACCCAGTGCCCGAAGGAAGGGTCTGTGTAGCAGGAGAGTGGCTTGATGTTTTAACGGAGGGATCCGTGCTGGGCTCTGCCTCAGGTTCCTGTTGTGACGCCGTGGCTGGAAGAGAGAGTAACAAATAACTTAAGAAAGTAAAGATGTTGGCTGGCGTTTTTTTATTTTAAATCGGTATATTATCCAGTTTCATCATTCTCCCTGTGATTACATGAACCATTTACAGGTGGATTTGCAAAGACAACCAACTGCGCTGCAGGTGATTTAATGGTTATATGCTTGATTACAAGCATAACAAAACTGATGGGGCCAGATGAGAAAGAGAGAATCAAAATAGTGAGAAAGAGCGTATCAAAAATGAAGATTTGTTCCTTTTAAATTTGGATTGTTACTAAGGTGTCACATCTCTCTTCCATGTGAGATTTCCCCCCCGATACGTGATGGGCCTGTACTGGTCGTTTCAATTATGTGATATTATAAAATACTTTGTAGCAATATTTTTATGTTATGTATGGCAGCTGTGCATCACAACGACAAATATGAATCAACAGCAGATCCTGTTGCTTGGAACGATGCTACTTGGAAAAAAGAAAGAGGAAAAGAAAAAGATCTGGGCAATTTTAAATAAAGGTCCTAGCGATCGTCTAAAACTGTCAAATTTGGCGCACAAATATCGCTCCTGCTACCTGACTGCGTGCAAGACTTCATGTGTTCTGGCCAATGGGCTTGCTGGCAGGGGTAATCACAGTAACTTGTGTTCCAGCAGCAGTAGAAAATGGCCTCCTTCTTGCAGTTGGCGCACCACTGCTTCTTCTTGGTCTCGTCCACTGCCTGCTGTCTTTCCAACTCCATCTGCTTCTTCACCTCAGCCACCAAACGCTCTCTTTCCTGCTCCAGACTCTGCCTCATCTCTGCCATTGTCAACTCTGCGTCCAGGTTTGTCCAAAAGAAAATTCAGACTCATGTTTCATGACAAAGAAAAACTTAGCAGAGCAAACAATGTTTAAGGTTAATAATAAATAAGAAGGCTTAGTGTGTATACGTTGCCAGAGGAAGGAAACTTACCCAGGTTGTGCTTCATCTCCGACAGCTCCTGTTGATGCAGCCACTGGAGCTTCTCAATCTCGATCCTCAGCCGTCGAATCTGTGGGATAAAAACACAGAGAAATTATATTCATCAACTTTCATCGTTACGAGGCAATAATCCACCCATTGAAAGTGGTTTACCTCTGCAATTGTGTTTCCTGATGTGCTTTTGGAAAGATCATTGTAGATTTCAGTCATTGTCCCCTTTATTGTGTCCATAATCTGAAAATTGTTGGGGGAAAAAAGCAATCAATTAGAAGTGAAATGAAAATATATCTTGTGCATTTAAGGGGGCTGGGGATTCTTACTTTGTTCGTGTATTTGGCTATATCTGCTGCTACATCTGCTGACACCGTAGGGATCTGCACATCTCCCGACGTGAAAGATGAGCTACCAGCTGTTGATGAGGACGAACTGTGGGGCAGGTCTTTCTGTTGCACTGCAGGCGATGGGCAAAGGAGAGACGAGTGGGGAAAGCATGACCATCTGCTGTACCTTTCATTTGGCCACAATACTTTGAATTCAATTGTCTTACTCGGGAATTTACCTTTTACTGCTTGTCTGGTCTGATAGCGAGTACTGGAGGAGGAGTTCTGCTGTGACTGTGGCTGCTGAGGGCTGCGTGTGTGGCCCTGACCCTGCGTCTGCGCGGCCGACTGTTCTCCTTGCTGCTGCTGTGCCTGCTGCGCCTGCTGCCTCTGCACCTTCTGCATATGCCACTTTTGGGACGATGTCTGAAACTTGGTGGGGCTCCAAACCACTGCCTGCTGAACAGCCTGGGCCGTCTCTTTGGGCAGCAGCGGGCGCTGTTTTTTCACTGCTGCGGGGGCCGGGGATGTTGCGGAGGCGGGAGCGGGGGCACCAGCGGGCCCACTGGTGGCGGTGCCGGAGGCGGAGGCGGTGGTGGCGGCGGGGGTGGACAGACCCGATGATGCAGTGGAAACAAGGTTGAGTGCCGCTGTGATTGACGGTTGGAGCGAGTCTTTTAGGTTGGTGGCGGCCTCCCGTGTTGGTGCGGCTGATCCGGCCGATGAAGGCAGTTTACCTGCATTTAAAGAAGTAATCGTTGGTCAGGCTTTATGGGAAAAATTTAACCTTTTACACGATAACTATTCAGCTCTTTACAAAAAAGACACCATTGTATTTCAAATCTGGAGAAAAAAGGTATACGTTTCAACAAATCAACATATCAGTGTGGAAAGGTTCAATTCTGGGATACTTTCGCTGAGAATTAGAAAATTAATTAGGTATTGACTAGCAATTTCTAAAATTAACTGACTTTTCCTGACATTGCTGTGTCTGTGACAGGCAAAGAACTCTTTATAAATGTCACCACCGTAGTAATTTTTTACAAAAATCAACGGAGAGATCTGGGGCTATGAAATTAAATGTGATGAATAACTGACTATTGATTGTACAGGGGGGTGAAAAGTTGGTAGGGATGTTTATCTTAAATTCCTACAAATTACCGAGAAATAATAGGGAGCAGCTAATCAAAAGGCTCAAAAACTTAGGAAATAAAACTGCTCAAGATTTACAGTTGGTTCCATTAAACCACTTCAGGCAATAAAGTCTATCAAGGCGTTAGAGAGCCACAAATAAAAAATTCAATGAAAAAAATACACAGGTGGTGAGAGAAGCAGGAGGCTTTGCTTTTACTTCATATAAAGGCAAAAGGAAACAATTATGCGGAGTAAGCATGCTATTCTAAAATAAGTGCACTTAAGCATATACCTTGGCAAACAGCTGCAGTGTGATAAGTGGCCAAAAAGCCCCAATGAACTTTAATTATTATGATAAAAGCATGTCTGGCAATGTTATGATGGGAAAAGTTGCATTCTGAAATTATAAGAGACATAAAACATGATGGCTGCAACATAACAGAAAAAGAAGCGACGCCGGGAAAGCTGCCGTGTAGAAAGACAGATGGAAAACAAAATACCAGACAAAAATTAATAGAAATATTTCCTAGAAGTGCACTTGCCACATAAATACTGCTTTAGTAGCAGAGAGAGCTAAAGCACACCGAGCAGAGATAAACATATTAGCTTTCACCTAAATCTGTCTCCTCTGTAATTTCTAGGAGTGCTAATTCTCCCTATTAGAGTTTCAGTAAATAAGGATAGTCATTAAAATCTAAATCACCCCCCAAGTACTTAAAAATCAGCTCATCATTCCTTCCTGGCAAGTTTAAATAAATCGTTCCACTGTCTCCGGAGACCCAAGTTTTTGTTTTGGGGTCCATTTTTGCTTTGTCCCAGATACATGAGATTAGTAGGAACTAATAAGTTTATTAACTAGAATCTGTCACGGTACAGACAGTGGTTTATCTTTGTATTTAAAATGTGGATTCACGTAATAAGGTTTTCTTTGCAATTTGGTTCAGAAGGTCCGAATTACTTAATTACACCATTTTAATTAAACAATGATTGACATGCTTGGCTGAATGCGAATAACAACATTATCGTGATACGGAGAGGTAAAAATGCGAGGCCCTCATATGAGGACGCAGGGTATCGCAGGGAAGTTACTGCGTACAGCGACAGTTAAAATCTAGTCAGGTCCGATTAAAACGTGACGCTTTGGGCTCCGGAAACATTCCAGAAAATTTCCCTGCGCTTTAATAACAGGCTCCCAAAAGGGATGACAAAAGCGTGACCTGAGAAAGCAAAGCATTTACAGAAATGTCCGTTCCCATTCCCATTATGCTGTCAGGCACCGAAACGAACCCGTCATTTGATCGTAGAGGAACATTCACATTGAGGCAGCAGGAATGGACTTTCAACATGGGTCTGACTGCAAAGCTTTTCAAACGTTAACATGGGGAAGGTAGTAGTGCACTTGTATCTCTAAAAAACTATGCAAAAAAGCTTTGCTTTGCCTCCCTCATGAACAGATGTGTGGTTTGACTCGAGGCCTTTTGCCACACAGATCTTGTCTTGTCCTACGTGTCTCACTGTAACAAACATAAAGGGATTTGACACAGCGGAAACAAGCTACAAGCTCAGCTGCAAAGCCACATTTGCAGATGCTGTTTCCTTCCAGTAACCTGTCATCAGCTGAGAATCATTACCGAGACAAACAAATCCAGAAAAAGAAAAAATATATATATTTCACAGACTTTACATGTAGGAATTCATTTCAAGCCAAATTTAGTGACAAAAGCCCAACCCTTTGCATAAAGCTGTATGATGAAAGGGGATACAGTGGATGAATGGCCCTACCTTCTGTTTTGACAATGTTGGACTCTTTGAGAGTTTTGGCCACAGAGGAAATGATCTCTCTTCTCGCCCTCTTTGAGTCACGGCCCCCGTGTTCATCTCCAAGGTCAATCACGAGCTCCCTCTCAGAATCAGAGTCTTGTTCAGTGGCAGATGTGGCAGCGGCCGCTCTGCCCTCCTCTGAGGCCTTGGGCTTTTCGGTCAGGGGCTGAGATTGGGGCGTTCTGGGCTTGTCCTGCAGATCCTTATCGGGGCCATTGCTGCCCGGCTTCTCTTTGAGCAAGGGTTCAGGGGTAGCCTTGTCCCCCATCCCCGCCACTCCCTCCTTATTTTCCCCCTCTGTGCTCACTTTGGACCGTTTTCTTTCTGCTTTGTCCTTGTCATCCTGGGCAGAGCTCTTTGGCTTGTGCTCCTCGTCACTAATATACTCGCTGTCACTCGACTCGAATTTTTCCGAGTCCTCAGAATCACTGTGGTCTACGTCTTTGTACACGTCCTCAGAGATCTCATCGATTCCTGTGAGGACAAATGGAAAAGGGGGTGTCACATCATGTCTCTCAGAGGAGAATTAAGAGTGATTAGAAGGACGTTCTTTGAAAAAGTATCTCAAAAGTTATCAGACTAGCATATCAATCCAGAAACAGCAGCCGTTTTGATCATAGCTGATCAAAAAAATCTATCTTACATTTGAATTCTGCAAGGCTGTCATAGCTAAAAGTTGTCATAACGAACTGGAACCAAAAGTCGTGCACCTACCGAGCTGTGCCTTGCAGCTTTCAATAGTTTTGTCCAAACTCCTGATGGGTCTCTTTGGGGTGCTGAGGGCAGCTGGCGGTGCTTGCTGCTGTTGTTGTTGCTGCTGTTGCACAGACTCACTCAGCTCCTTCAGATCCATTTCAGCCTTCACTCGGTCTGAAAGAGAACAAAGGTTTGATCAGGCATGAATATGCAGGTGAACTGTTGTGAGAAAAACCTATGGCGGGTTGAGCACTAGCTTTTGTCATAAGCGTGTAAATACAGTCCATCTGTGCTGGCTGGACCTACCCAGGTTGAGATTGAGGATTCCTCCCGTTCCTGCAGTCCTCTCCTGTTTGGGCACCAGTGCTGGGTTAAAAGGCTTCGGACTGCTGGTCACACTGCCAGCTGGACCCATCTTCCCTGAGACAGGAGATGCTGCATTTACACAATAAAGACAAAAGAACATATGAGCCAGTTCAGGTTTCTCTTATTCGGTTCTTGGAGACTGTTTGAGGGCAGAGCCTGAGCGATGCAGACTTTCTCGTACCAGTGCAGTCCATGGACTCCTCTCCAGTGCTGTAGTGGAGTGCTGGATTCCTGCTTGCCTTCTCCGGATCCTGCTCCCCGTCAGACCCCGTGTGAACGGAGGAGTTTGTGCTCATGGGAGAGCGAGGCATGTCCGTCATGGAGACCCGCCGGCTCAGGCCACTCGGCATGGAACTCTTGCCGAGGATCATCTTGGGAGACGCAGTCATGTCGAAGTTGAAGCGAAGCTTGTCCGGTTTCTCCGTTTTGACCGTCCCGGCGCTGGGGTTGGCGGGGTCCAGCAGCATCTGCAGCTGGTTGTTGGGCGTGTAGGGGGTGCGGAAGGGCGCGTAGTTAAAGACGCCGAACTTCTTGCGAATATTTTCCACGTAGACCTCCATTTCTTGCATGGCGCTGTTGAAAATGCTCTTGGTTTTCTTCACGGAGAAAGGGATCTCTTTGGACATGAGGTAGCAGTTGTTGATTGGAACCCAGGCCCTGAATGGAAGGACGGCACGCAGCCAGTTAAATGCGGGGAAAACCTTGGCAAAGTTCACTGACAACCCAAGCACAACGAGCTCAGGCTCATCTCACCTGTCATGTTGGCCAAAGAAGCGTGCGTCTACTTGCCCATCCTTTTCTCTAAGTGCTTTTGCAGGCCAGAAAGGAAAACCCTTCAGCTTAGCCCAGACCAGAGGGTGGGGTTGACTCTGTTGGAAAAAAGGGTCAAATGAATCTGGAGTCTGAACTAAAATGTGGAAATATTGCGTAGACAATGAATAGATAGTGACAATGTGAAGACCTACGCATGGCTCGCAAAACCAGTTGTCCCGTTTTTGGCAAGCCGACAGGTAGCATTCTGGACACACTTCAATCTCATTCATCTAAACATACATTTTGAATAACAAGGATTTTATTAATTCATTAATGAGACTTTTTTTTAAATGCTACAACTGTTTGGTTGTCGAAGTCTCATTACCTCATGCTCACAGATCTTGACGATGACCTTTGCAGTTGCTGTTAATTTGTGATTACCTGAAACAGAGTAATTTTTTTATTTACATTTTGTTTGTCAGGCGGCACGTTAAGAAAAAAAAAAGTATTTTTATATGTCAAAGTAGCAAACCTCCATTATAGATGATGCAGTTGTGCAAGATCCACTTCATATCAGCAAGAAAAGCCTCAGTGCAGCCGTACATCTTCTTTTTGACATTCTATCAGAAAGCAAATCAAGGACAAGAAACATCAGTGAAAATACTCAGGCAATCCTTCTTAACCGCGTTTTTCCTTGTTCCCCAATAAGCAATAAAATAACATAAATACTATTTACTTTCTCTAAAGTACTCAAGTCCATAGGGTGGAAGATGTACTCTGCGTAATCTGGGTGCTGTTCCAGTGACACAGGCTTTTGAAAAGGCTCCGTCTGCTCACAGAAAAAAAAGAAAAAAAGATTATTTTTTGATCTCATGAGTCCATATTCAAGACTTTTCTGTGTGAACATTAATACTCGAAATTAGACATACAAAAGACTTCAAAGGAAAGATAAAGAAAAACACCTTACCCCAGGTTGTTTAATTTTCTGGAGTGCAAATTTCAGCAAGAAGGATAGCTGGTCTATAGTTAGCATTGTCATTGCCTTGCTCTGGGTTTCAATGCATTCAGCAACTGTTATTTTCTGCAACAACAACAACAACAAATACTTAATAAATACAACAATTACTTTCAAATGACCAATGACTTTACTTAATACGAGTCGCAGTAAAGAGTTACCAAAAACAAGCTCTTCTAAATTTAGATTACAAAATGCGGCCTCTAACTGTCCAGAAAAGATGACTAAAAAGAACTCGATTATGATTAGACCTAAATTTAAAGAAGTAGGCCTTTGATTCGAGTGGTGCTTGCTGGAGCGTTCGGTTATGTCTTGTAGGGTCAAGAGTCTGCAGTCTTTTTCGTGGCATCTACCACAGACCTCTACCACATAGACATGTTTTCAGCAAGATACCTCACACTCTGGACAGAACCAGTCGCCCTCGGGCTCGGCTGGCAGTTTGAGGCACTTGGCGTGGTACACCCTGGGGCAGAGCTCACAGCAGAGCACCTGGCCCTCGCGGTGGCACAGCCAGCAGTAGAAGTCATTCCTGCCGTCCTGCGGTACAACATCAACAGGGTCTGTGGTGAGTGCTGGCTGCTTCATATAGTAAAAGGGACCATGTCTTAGCTCTGACTGAAATGCAGGCAAGAGAAACAAGGGGGAGGTTTCAAAAAACACGCAGGAACACAAAAAAAGGTGCAATGCAACAAAAACAAGGCAGCACTATGGTAGGGTAAGCAGGGTAAGCGGCATACTGTGTAATATAGACATTTAATCTAACTTGTGATGGTTTTACGCAAATAATTAAGAGAATGTGAATGTCTACCCCACAAGCCACTACAACTGAAGTCAATGCTTAGAAAATATGATGCATGAAAACAGGCTTTAGTTTAACTTAGTGGCCTGACTAAAAATGTACTGCATGATGTGACTACCAATGTTTGTCTTAAAAAGCTTAAACCTTCACTCGAAAAGATGTAAGCCTGGGAATACAATGCTTACTACCCTAACCCTAACCCAGCCCAAGTTTGATATCAACTGGTTCACTGGTATACATTGTAAGAGGGTACGATCTCTTAAAAAAACCCTCAACTTGCAGCTTTCCAAAGTAAGATGTAGGAGCTGCCCTCTCCCTCCAACAATAGATGCTAATGGGATGAAAAGGAGCAAAGGAAATCTTGGCCTCTAATTTTCAAAAGCTATTTTTTCATCCCCTCTACCCTGTCAGTGCAATTTGTTGTGTGCCTAACTTTGTTTGCTTTACATGAGAGAGACTTTGAAAATGTGCCCCCCTCCCTTCTGGAACAGAGCAGGTTTTTCACCCGGTCTGCTCGGATCGCACCCTGCAGCCTCTGAGTATGTGCTCGGCTTTGAAATGAGCACAGCACAGCACTTACCTGGTCCTTGCTGTTAGAGTTCACAGCCCCTGGCTTTTTCTTTTTCTTGAGAGGACTCGGGGAGGTATCTGAAGGAGAGTGTCCATTGGAGGAATGGGTGGGACTTGACACCTTTCGCTTCTGTGGTGCCCCTGATCGTTCTGCTGACCCTGGAGGATCAGGCACTGGAAACATGCAGAGAATCACTCAGCGGGTACCATCCATGGTCCTCAACTCAAAGCTTGAAAAAGACTTTAAAGACTTAAAGACAGGAGCTCTGAGAGCAATACTGCTATTCCTTTTGGAGGAAAGAAAAATCTACAACAGATGATTGTCATAGTCCTGAATTTGAAGAATGCTAATAATGAGAACCAATAGAGTACGTGCACTTTAAGACTATTCGGCTTCAGGTGAGCGCCACAGCTGACTTTGCAGTTTATTACCATCAAGCACTTAATTACAACCGATATTTAAAAACCAAACCTTGATTATACTATTTAGATATAACAAACCAAATGGCTAGAAAGCTTCCTCCTGACGAACAGCCCACCCCCTGAGTTTATTCTTCACACAAACAAGCAGTCACTCACTCCCAACTGATTATTGTTGCAGTCCGTCAAAGCGCAACTGAGTCTGCCCTGAAAAACTTCAAAGAAATAACCTTGGCGTTCTGTGTGACTAAGATGTTCGACTGTTAATGAGAGGTTCTCGGCCTTAGAGACTTACCTTTAGATCGCACAGAAGCGTCCATCCCCTCTACCACATCAGACTCTGCCTTTATCTCCTCCTCAGCCAGACTGCAGAGCAACGAACATGAGCACACACACACACACAGGAAGAGGGGCAAACACAGAGTCAGAGAGGGTGTTCAGAAACCATATCAGTGTAACAGTAAACAAGAGGAACACCACCTAAGGCACCCGGGTCCCAGAGGGTCTGTCAATAGGGACTCTATGTTCCACTGCTATTGTTTTTATTTTATTTCACTGCATCTTTGACCGTGATGCCGAGGTGCGGACCCATTCCGTATTTTTTGAGCGACAATCAAGCAAGGAAATGTTCTTTATGTTCTACGAGATCGAATGGTAACCGTCACCATGGCAACACTCCTCTTAGCTTAGCACAAGTTGATATTCACAACAACACGTTGGGCCATTTAGCCAACAGTATCCTGCATCTCTGCTCCAAGAGGGAAATTGCAATTAAGTCCAGCTCTGCTCTGATCTCTTCACCATGCTTTGTTTGCAGTGCACCCTGAATAGTCCTACAGGAAAAATAAATAAACAGGAAAAAAAACAAAGGGTGTGTGTCCATGCTACTGAAGGGGATAGCCTCTCAAGATGATTAAGAGTTTCTGCTACCGTTCCAGCCCCTTCAGTGACAACAGTCTGCCCCCGAAGGATTTGAGGCCTTTCTTCGAGACCAATAGCATCCCTTTAAAAAAACCTCAAACCATAATGCGTCTCTCATGTTCTTGGTCAAAATCTTTACCAACCAAATATAGAAATACAGGAGTACAAATAATAAGCTACATATTCCACCATCACAAAATCATACACAAACGTATTATCCACATTTTCCTCTATGTAGGTGAACTGATACACTATAATAAGTCCATTATTATAAAACCAACCCAAAGTTAAGAATGCAAAGCACACTGAATGACTGATTTTGCAGTCTTTACTCCAGCAAAGATACATTCTTCCTGAAACACACACTAAAAAAGAACGAGACTGAAAAGGAATTGGCAATAAACGGGGGTCTTTTGAATGTTTGGCTCCTCCTTTGTCGAAGCAGCAGAGGGTCTCATTCCGAAGATGTAGCCTTTATTCATGGGCCCAGAAAAAAGTCCCCCCCCTCCCCGTGAACCCCTAACAGGTCACACACACTTGACCAGTTCAAAGCTTTGACTGCAGCTCTGGTTTCCAGCTAGGACTACGAGTTTTCAGGCTACGACTCAAAGATAAAAACACATATGTCAGAGGGCAGATTTTTTTCCTTCTTCTTCTTACTCATTCTGAAACTAACAAGAATGTTTTGCAGATTCCCTTCCTCCATCCCACTATCCTTCAGGAGACATTCCATACAAAAGTTCAACAAAAGTCAGCCCATGGGCATGGGAGCACAACCCCGAGGGCTGAATAAGGCAGAGCAAACTAGAGAATAAATAGTCATTTAAATTCAACCTTTGTGTCAACTGCATTCATATCTTAACAAGAACAAAATCTTAATCCGACCCAACAAAATGACCAAAACACAAAGACCTTTTGAAAAGCAGACTTCTGTTCTCTCTGCCTTTCGATGTGGCAATCACAGATCATCCTTTTGAGACTTTAAAGAACAAAAAAATAAATAACTTGCATTGTTTTAAACATGCCAGACTCGGGCTGGATGGATCTTCTTAAGAAACATGGCACATGGGTATCATGTTTCAGCTTGCCAACGATCTACACACACAAACGCACACCCCTTCAGGGCCTTCCTGTTCCGGACTGAGGGAACAAACGAGGCCCACATGAAAATGAGAAAACGTTAGCCAAGTCACTCTGCTATGTGTACCACAGTCCTGAAAGGAAGAGCATTTCCCAATCTGCAGCCCATAGCTGCCACAAAGTGCCACAACCCTATTCCCTACATCAACTTCATGTCAAAGGCAAGACAGTCCAGCTACCAAATAGAAAGGCTGGCCAGTGGTAAAAAAGAAAAAAAGTATTATGATCCAAAGGACATTCTCAGATTAGGAAATATGATCCATCACACAAGCAGTTTGGCAAATAAATCCTTAACAAATTGTGGGATATATTCCAAATAGACAACGCTCAAGAAAAGACTCACAGTATTCTCCTCTGCGAGTACTGTAGTACCTGATGGACAAAAAGGAAACAACACTGAGTCAGTGCCTTTAGATTCCACTCCTGTGAGAGACGAGCAGGGCTCCCTCGTCACAGAAAATGGAGGCCACAGCTTGCTCCCCTCCCCCCTCTCCCCCATCCCCCACTCCAAGGCTCAGACTCTGGCACATCCATGCAGGAGCACCAGGGAGATCTGTGGAGATTTCAGTCCAACATTTTTTTTAAAACAATAAAGCTATATCACGACAAACCTCCATGACCAGTCAGAGAAAAAGAGAAAACACAGAGAGGGAGACACAGGAAAATCCAGCAGAGTGAGAAGCGCACGTCTGTTGTCTTTTCTTTTTTTCCCCATGTCTTCGCTCTTGGTTTCACTCCTCTGTGAACACTGCTGTCACAGAATAATTAGATGTCATTTGAAGGAGAGGTTAGCCTATCCTGTAAAATCACAGCCGGATACTCAGGAGGTTATTTTCTATACGTTACAGCGTATGATGATGTGTTGAAAGGGCTAATAAACAATACAGAGAACATCGTAAGGCACTGAATCTGCCCCTGAAAAGTAGTAGGGAGTAGTATTGCTGAATGCAAAACCTCGTACCCAGCATGCTAAATAAAACCTGAGAGAGATTATTAGGCTCTGTAATAAGTCAAAGCTCCTAAAAATAACAACAGCATGCAGATGAATCAGAAAAATCTTTCTTTTGACTTTGCATTTCCGAAGGCAACTACATAATCACAAAATACATTTAAAACAAATGTTAAAAATCATACAGCCCTTAATAAGGATGCCTTTGACCATGTTAAGAATCCTATTCTGGCATTACAAGTATATACAGAGTACTATAAGAGAAATATTTGACCTGGATTTTATATAAGGCTGTAAGGAGTGAATCAAAGATGGCTGTGGAATTTTCCAGAAGGCCCTTGCTCTCTCCGCTGTTCTCCCTGCGATTGTCAATCTTTCACCTCAGCTCTCACTGCAATTGGCTGGAGGGCCAACAGGCTGGAACATCATTGGTCGGCTGTGCTTTGCCACACAGATCGCAGTGTGCAGGCTCCCCTCTTCCTGTTAAAAAGCATTTTTGCTGCAATGCAGTGATTTCTCCCGCATTAGACAGTATATTTTTCTACAGTCAAACTTGCCTTTCATAATTATGAGAACATAAACCAGAGGGGGCTTTTAACAGGGCCTCACGGATGATTAGATTTGTGGCTGCGATGCACAACTCAGCTGCTCTGCTGCTCTAAATCTGCCACGCAGCACCCAGGCTGCTTTGCCTCGTGGAGAGGCCATGACTGTTTGTCGCCTGTACCAGGAAGCTGCGTTCCCCTGACCCATCCGAACGATCGGTTGAATATTTACAGCAAAAACCTTCCGGCCTACTCCGCAGGGCAAAGAGTTAACTTTCAGCTTCGCTTTTACAACCAGTTAATTAGTTGAGGGGGAAATGCCGATTGAAATATTTTCTGGTTTCTGTGTAGATGAAAAAAAAAAGCCTCGCGTCAGGCCACCAGAAGAAGAGACTCTTCTTTGTTCCAACCTCCCCCCCCCCACGCAGTTGAAACTGCAAGAATGGTGGGTGCTACATGACTAAACACAATGTGCTGTCTATGCTCTGACACAAATATCACGACGCATGAATCGTTTCCAAAACTGAAGCGACCACTTCTATGTTTGCCTACGTTTTCTTCTTCGACTGTACATGATGTTACATTTTTGGTTATTGATGAAAACTGAGTTTATTCTGATTGACTATAGAAAATTAACCTTTTCTTATCTTTGTGGCAAGGAACACCTTTTCAGTCCGTTAAATATTAAATCAGACGCCACATGAAGAACAAACGTGCAAAGTCTTGTGCTATTCCTCTGTCCTGCTATCTGATCCAAAGGAAAAAAAGACGTGGGTAAAGTTCTGTAAACACAAAATGGCCTCTGTGTGAGACAGGAGGAAGCATTTGTACGCTGGAGTTGAAGGAGCCAGAGGTTGTAACCCTAGGGCCTATGAGTCGAATTACAGAACGGTTTAGAACACATTTATACCTAAAGACCTGTAAGGAAACACTAAAAAGGGGAGTACCTTGAAACAAAAGTGTTGTTCATCCTCTGAGCAGTATGGAGAATAGAAACTCCAGTTTCCTTAAACACATGCAGTCACACGGTCTTAAATTTCTGAGTTTTCAAATGTACTCTCTCTATACACACACACACTTTGAGTGCTGCCAAGCACGCCCTGCCCTCTGTACAAGGCACATGTGTTGTTCTTTGAGTTTCTACCTCGGGCATGGCACGAGACAAGAAACTAGCACAGAGCCAGTCCATTTACAAAGGGCACATAATATCCACAATAACCCCCCCTCCCCATGCCCATCCCCCCATTCTTTCTCTGCCAGGCTAAAACACCAAACTCCCACAACAGAAATATGTGGGTGCCATTTTTAATCTCTCTTTTTTTTTACGTTCTAAAAAAGCAAACAGGAAAAGGATTTGCCTTGGTCCAGCCTGCTTTCTGTGTGGCAGCCTGGTTGTCTGGGGCACCCATGTGACCCTGAGACACAGAGAGAGAGCAAGGGTGAGAGTCGTTACCCAACCCCCCACCCTCAGCCCTGTGGAGCACAGAGAGGCCTGACAAGGCCTCCAATCCACCCCAGCTCCTCCTCCTGCTGCACACTAAGCTGACTTTAAGGTGTGTACGTTCATCATGAGAAACCAACAGTCACCACAACAGCAAGAAGGAAGCCATGTTGTTATCGGAAGGCTGAGATAAAAAAGACAGAGCTTACCTCTGTGGATGCATGGCTGCCTGACACACTGTTATGTCAACACTTATAAAACATGGAGGACACTCTCAACCCTCAGCCGAGGAAGGCTCCGCTCTTCAGGCAAGGCGATCAGGCCCCAGTCATGTTAGCCAGATCCTGACTGGTCGCTTTCCTCAGAGGCAAGATACAAGGCTGCGCCTGATTGGCCGAAATGTTTCCTGAGTAATTATCTTTGTTCAGTACAGGCAGGGGCAGCACTGTGAGAGTCAGAGACAGGGGAAGAAAAATGAGCAGAGAGCTAGGTAGAAAATCACAAATATATACGACTGGTACGAGTATTTTTGACATACAAACCCTGTGTAACAGTGCTTTGAAGCTTCCAAGAGTAGAATCTGGAGGCAGCTCTCTTAGATGAAGGCTTTAAAAGGAAGTGGCAGCATGTAGACTGTCAGAAGCAGGACACCATGGCTTCTCTGCACAAGCCTCCATATTTTGTGTGGAGAGGGCCTTTGTTTAAACTCCTCCCTCTCCCCGGCTGTCTGCGGATAGTGGAGAGGATACAGCTCTTCGACCATTTTCACAAAATGAAAGGCAAATAAGATGGTCAAACACTTACATTTGTGAAGGGAGTAGAATAGGAAATAAGGTATGTGTTTCAAAGAAACAACACCTTTAAATAAGATACTCTGTTGTTGCAGTGAAACCTTTTCATGTAAAATACAGTAACCTAAGGACAGACAACCAAAAAAATATCTTTAAGGCCACAGTTTAGTGAACTATAGCAAAATTTTAAGTGTTCTATACATTTCCCTTTGTCCCCCTCCATATACATGGGATACAAATCTAAAGAATAGGAAAGTGTTAAATTGCTAATAAATAATTAATCATAAACCACACAATTAAACAACGTTTGAGGCCCCTTTGGACTTTCAGCAGCTCATTAGGACACATTCCCATCATTAAAAAGACAGAAACAAACCCTTATAATGGACAGTTATGCAGAATAGTAACTGTACATGTGAAATGAGTTTACTGGAGCTGTAATTCAGTGCATTGCAAAGGCTTCCTTTACTCCACCAAGTCATTGCCACTTATTAGAGGAAATTTATCATTATATCTGTATGTATTACACCAAACATTATAATGTTTCTATAGTTTTCATATGTTGTTCAACATCCTTAATTTCCTGAGGGAGTCTTCCCAAGGGATCAATAAAGTACAGTCTAAGTCTAAGTCTAAGTCTAAGTACCATGTATTTAACATTTGTAATGAGCTGATTACATTTTTGTGGTAATTTTAGAGTCCATTTCATTGGCACTACTGTTTGCAACACTTTACCCACCTACTGCAGAAATTGTAGTGAAAAGAATAAGAACAAAAATAAATAGTTATGATATTAAAGGATGTAAGTTAAAGATTAAATAATAAAAGACTTGCGCCCAACGTGGGGCTCGAACCCACGACCCTGAGATTAAGAGTCTCATGCTCTACCGACTGAGCTAGCCGGGCTACATGCTACAACCTGGCACGTAGCAAAGATATAACAGGAATGACGACATGTGATACAAGAGCACTATACATTTTGTCTTAGCCTGCCCTCTACTGTCCTACAGACAAAATGCTAAATAGTTGACAACCATAAGGCCGTTTAACTCAAAATATACATATTTCCTAAAACATTACCACTCCTAAAAATACCCCACAAGAAACATATTAACGGTTGCTTAATTACTCATAGGGAATCTTGTTGTATCGTTTCACAAAAGGCTAGATTGTTTTGTAGCTAAATGCTTGTAACAGTAACACGTTGGTCATGAGTACTTTTGGAAATATCCATCGTGCTAGTTTACTTAATTTATTGATTGGATAGATAGATAGATAGATAGATAGATAGATAGATAGATAGA